CGGGGCGCCCTTCAGAGCCCGTGAGATGCTTACCAAAGCAGCAGCACAGCGTGAGAAGCCAGACATCCGGCCGCTCAAATTTGTTCGATAGTGGGCCCCCGGAGGTCTGGGCAACCTCCCTAGAACCAATGTTTCGTCCTGAGTCGTTGTTTGACGGTCCCGGGGCCCGGCGAGGGCCCCTGGAGGCCGAAAACAGCCAAAAATTACCCCAGTGCGACCCTACCTAGAAGTTGGAGCCCCTAGGAAAGCAGCATTAGTTGCTATGCTATGCTATGATATGCTATGCTAAGCTGCGCTATGCTATGCTATGATATGCTATGCTGTGCTATGCTGCGCTATGCTATGTTATGCTATTCTAAGCTATACTATGTCATGCTGCGCTGTGCTATGCTAAGCTATGCTATGATATGATAAGCTGCGGTATGCTATGCTATGCAATGCTATGCTATGCTGCGCTGTGCTATGCAGTGCTGTGCTGTGCTGTGCTGCGCTATGCTATGCTATTATATGCTATACTGCGCTATGCTATGCTATGCTGGGCTATGCTATGATATGCGATGCTGCGCTATGCTATGCTACGCTATGCTATGCTATGTGATGCTGTGCTCTGCTATGCTAAAGCTCAGCGAAGCTAAGATGAAGGTAAGCTAAGCTAATATAACACTGAGGTAAGATGAAGCGAAGCTCAGGTAATATGAAATAAGCTAAGCTGAGATAACGCGAAACTAAAGGAATGTCACTGGGGGAACCGCGGGGCGGATGCAGGGGGACCCGCCCGGGGCGTGCCCCACTGCCCGGCCCTTTAAGCCTCAGAGTAAGAACCCTTCTAGGCAGAGCCTAGGTAGGGAACTGACGCTCCAACTTTTTGGGGGCCGCGGATCTCTGGGAAGGGGCCCCGCAAGCTCGGGGCGGAACGGTGATTGCGTGGCGCTGTGAAGAGGGACGTCGGGCCTCGACAGCTCCCGCGCGCGCGCCGCGTCATGCGGCACGAGGCTCGCCGAGCGGCCGCCGAGGCCATGAATTTCTTTTGCCCTCCTCGTGGCCGTGGCTGGACACAGCTCGGGGAATGTCACGAGCGTAGAAATTTCCGTATCCGCGCCCTCGCGGTCTGGATTCCAGGGCGCGGTCCCGCGGATACGGTCGCCGCGAACAAAAAACGCCCCGTACACGCAAGGTCGCGGCCCAGGGGCCCGGCCCGCGAGACCGTGGATACGGATATGCTTCCGCCCATGAGAGCGGATCCGAATGGTCCAGGGACAGCTGTTGATCGGATTGTTCGATGGCCTCCACACGACGTGGCGAAAGCTCGACGGGGCCCTCGCAGATCGACTTAGCTTGATAAATCCTGCCCCGAAACAACGAAGTAGAGAGCCGTAGTCCCGTGCTCTGGTCAGGACGCGTCTTGCACGGGGCGCGATGTCGGGGCGTGCAGGGCCCGTGGTCGAGAGGACCGAAGGGGACCCTCTGAGCCCATATGGCGTCTGTGGCCCCTCGGCTACCAGACGGAGGAGGAGGAGGAGGAGGAGGAGGAGGAGGAGGAGGAGGAGGGGGAGGAGGAGGAGGAGGAGTGGGGGAGGAGGAGGAGGAGGAGGAGGAGGAAGAGGAGGAGGAGGAGGAGGACGAGGAGGAGGAGGAGGAGGAGGAGGAGGCGGGCCAAGTGCCCCGCACCCGGTTCGAAGTGGAGCACGCCCGGCCGCCCGCTCGGACCCCGGATGGGATCCACAAGGAACCCTAGGGAAGGGAGGCGGGGCAACGTGCGGGCACGACGGCCGTGCAGGGAGGTCGAAGGCAATGGCCGGGCGCTCCGCGCAGGGAAAGCGTGCATGCTCGCACGACATGTATGAGGCCTCGTATTCTGCGAGAGCATACCTGGAGTGGCCACCACCGCTTGAAGAAACTTCTCTACGCAACGCCGCGAGGTGAGTAGCTTCATAATCTTGCCCAGTGAGATCGAAGCAGCACAGCATGTAGGCAGAGAAGGTACATAACGCAGCAATCAAGATGTTGTGCAGTGTGGCGTTGCTTCCCTCGAGAGACCCCCGCGCACCTGAACAGTGAGGAGCCTCATGCAGAGCTGATCCTGGCATGCCGAGCTGGGTGAGGCTCGACAGAGCGACAGAGCGACGGGCAGCAAGAACATCACGCTCGATTCAACAATACGGTCCGAATATACGTCGCACACAGGCGCACTGCATGATGCCACACATTGACGCCAAACACTGACGACTGGGATCTAGGAAATCACCGGAAACAATGTATCATTTCACACTGACGACTGGGACCTATGACTGACTCATTCGCAGCGAACGGAAACCCTGCCTGCATGATGACGGCAGGGCATCTAACCAACGGCAGCGACACACCACCTCCATCCCTGGCCAGGGTCCCCCAAGGCCCTGGGGTGTCTGTAGCCCCCTGGCCTCGAACAGGGTCCTATACACACCTCTCATGGGCCTGGGACGTCCCAGGCCGGGGACGGTGGTGTGGGACGTCCCAGGCACTGGATCGGATCTAGCTGGCGGTGCAGGCGAGCAAACGGAACCCCGCTCGGTACTGGGCGTTCATGCCAGAGTCGGAGCCGATGCTGGGGCTCTGCGACGGCAGGGCAGTGGGGCTACGCAACGCTTGTCGGAGCAAGTAGCGGAAGAACATGCAACCAGCTGGCACTGGCTGGGCAATCAATGAAACAAAAAAAGCTGCGCAATTGAGGCTGGTGGCGAACCAATCGACTTCCCGCCGGCATATAGGACAGCAAGACAGCGGGGCGAGTCGACGCCAATGGCGTAGTGGCGAAGAAACGAGGGTTCCAGGTGCAAAGGGGGCCTGGTGCCTTTTGTGTGTTCCCTTTAATAAGGAAGCCGTTGCGAAACTATCCCTACGCCAACCCCTCTCTCCTTCTATCTCTCTCTATCTTCCTCTTGAAAGCCTCCGCCTTTGAAAGAGGGATTCCTATTGAACGCCTCTACAAAACGATTCCTACTGAACGCCTCTACAAAAGGATTCCTTTTGAAAGCCAATGCATAAGGATTCCTATTGAAAGCCTATACCAGAGGATTCCCATTGAAAGCCTCTACAAACGATGCCTTTCGAACGCCCATGCAGAAGGATTCCCAGTGAAAGCCTATACAGAAGGATTCCGATTGAACGCCTCTACAGAAGGACTCCTCTCGAACGCCAGTACAAAAGGATCCCGATTGAAAACCACTAAACAGATTCCGATTGAAAGCCTTAACATAAAAAAGATTCGCTTTAAACGCCTATACCAGAGGATCCATCTTGAAAGCCAATACAAAAGATTTCCCAGTGAAAGCATCTACAAAAGGATTCAGATTGAAAGCCCAAATAAGCCAACGCAAAAGGATTCCTATTGAAAGCCAATGCAGAAGGATTCGTATTGAAAGCCTCTACAACACGATTCCTTTTGATAGCTGCCACAAAAAGGATTCCGACTGAAATTCGTTACAAAAGCATTCTTATTGGAAGCCAATGCAAAAGGATTCCGATTGAAAACCCAGTGCGAAAGGATTCCTATTGAAAGCCACTGCAAAAGGATTCCTATTGGAAGCCTCAACAACAGGATCCCCATTGAAAGCATCTACAAAAAGGATTCCTATTGAAAACCAATACAAAAGGTGTCTCATTGAAAGCCTTTACAAAAGGATTCCGATTGAAGGCATCAACAAAAGGCTTCCTATTGAAAGCCTCAACAGCCCCCTCCTGCTCCTCCTCATCTTCCTCCTCCTCCCCCTTCCAGTGGAAGGCCATGACTCTTAGGAAAACCATGAGATCAACAAAAAACAACAAAACAAAGACACTGAAGAGCTGGAGGCGGAAACCTTAGAAAAACCGTTGGACACCAACCAACAAAAAACAACAAAAAAAAAAATAATGCATGACAATCCCGTCCGCCCCAAAGGGGAGGTTACATGGGCGGGCGGCATTGCTTGGAAACTGTGTTGTTTTGTTGTTTTGTTCAATGGTTTTTCCAAACGTTTCAGCCTCCAGCACTTCAGTTTCTTTGTTCAGTTTAATGTTGTTTTTCTTTTTGTCTGAGGGTTTTCCCAAGTTATGGCGTCCCGCTAGAAGGGGGGAGGAAATGGAGGAGGAGGAGGAGGAGGTGGTCCCTTCGGACGAGTGTTCCCTGGGATCTTTAGTTTTTTCTTCACATATATATATATATATATATATATGCTTCTCTCACCTGTTTTTGTGCACTCCGCCAGGGAGCTTGTCAGGCCAGGACCTCTGGGGGCTACTCAGGGGTCAACCCAGGAGTTGGGAGAGGTCCCGTCCCTTCAGCGGCATCCAAGGGCCTCCCAACCCGCCTGGCACAGCCGTGGCGCTTAAGCACCCGCGCTGCGTCCCAGTCGCGCTGGGCCCTTCCTTGACATTGAGCCGCCGGGAGGTTAAACGTCACCAACCCCTGAACCCCCTAGCTCTCGTCCTGGCAAATACTCGCGCGGAGGCAGGCACGGCCACGCGCGAGACGGTAGCAATGCTGCCCCCTGTCTGTGGGTGGGCCAACACAGCTACGGAAGATGGATGAAACTCAACCGTTATCCATCAACGGCGTCGCGCACGCTCAGGTGGACTCCGCATAGGTTTCCTTGGAAGGTTCATATATGCTTCTCTCACCTGTTTTTGTGCACTCCGCCAGGGAGCTTGTCAGGCCAGGACCTCTGGGGGCTACTCAGGGGTCAACCCAGGAGTTGGGAGAGGTCCCGTCCCTTCAGCGGCATCCAAGGGCCTCCCAACCCGCCTGGCACAGCCGTGGCGCTTAAGCACCCGCGCTGCGTCCCAGTCGCGCTGGGCCCTTGAGCCGCCGGGAGGTTAAACGTCACCAACCCCTGAACCCCCTAGCTCTCTCCACGGTCCCTACCCTGGCAAAAGCCGCTCCCTCTTGCTCTTACTTATGCCCTCCACCTTGGTGTAATGAAATGAGGGAAGAAAGGTGGAGGATGGGCGGGACAGACAGACAGGCAGTACAAAGCAAGAACAGTTCATCTCGCTTCTGCTCGCAGGCGGGACGCGAGCAGGCCGCAGCGCTTCCGCTGCGTGGGCGAGAGATTTAATTGAGTGGCCTCGGCGACGGCATCCTGGACATACAAGCGGGCCGTGCGCGCCGAGGCCCATCTGCCTCGGAGCAGCGTCTGCTCCATGGAGCCGTGGCTGCGGAAGTCGGCGGAGGCGCCGCCCCGCCGCCAGCTGTAGAGGGTGAGCTTTGCATCTTGCAGCTCCAGCAGCTCACGCACGCGGCCGAAAGTGTTCATGAAACTGCTTGGCTCCATTCCGAGGCACAAGTCCTGTCCGTGCGCCTGAGCCTTTGCTCTGGCAAGGAGGGCGACCGCTACACCACTCCGCACGAGCACGAACTCTCGGGCACCAGTCTGATGCTGGCTCTTGGTGTTGCGCAGCTGCAGCAAGGCCATTCGTCGGAGTGGATACAGCTGTACATCGGACCACACGAGCGAGGTCATCTCACCCGTCCGGAGGAAAGCATCGTAGCCCGCAGCCAGCACCGCCGCAGCACCGAGCTGGCCCACGGCCGCAAATGCACCAGCGAACGCTGCCGCGATCAGCGGACCGATCGGCAGCGCCCGCCCAGCTGGCTCCAGGCGTTGCCAAGTCTTGGCCAAGCGCCAGCTGTCCCGCAGGTGCCCTCGCACGGGCGGGAAAGTGTGCGTGATGCCTGCAATTGCATTATTAACCTCAAACAAAGATCCTCCGCTCAGCCAACGGCTCTCAATGAAGGCGGCCACGCCAGCGTCGACCTGAGCGGGCGTCTGCGGCTGCCGGTGCTCCTGGATCCAGAAATCAACGACTTCATCGACTGCCGCACGGTACCGCTGCAGGGTGAGTGGCGTGACCATCGCCTCCCTCAGCGGTTGGGACCTCGCTGCAGCTCGTCGTGCCATCGCCTGGGCCGTGACCCTGCTCACCTTTGCTGCTGCCTGCGCTGCGCGCTTGCTGGGGGCGGCCCTCCTGGCCCTCGCCTGCGGCAGCACTGGGAGCGAGGCAGCGGCGGCCGAAGCTCCAGCGCGACGGCGTGTCGGCGGGCATGTCGTCGGTGTCGCAGTAGCCGTGCAGCGGGTACCCTGCCGTCGCGAGGAGCAGGGAGTTGAGCCGGCGGAGTGCGGGCTGCAAAGCCCTCGCGCTCGATCTGCCCTTGGTGCTGACTGCCGCGATCGCTTGGGCATCCAGGATGTGCAGGTAGCGGCAGCGGTGGTTCTCAACTGCTCGGCACCTCCAGCGCGCTCCAGCCACCGCAGCCTCCAGCTCCAGCGCCGAGATGTGCCCGGGCCGCTGCCAGCGAAAGCCTTTGGCGATCCGCCAGGCCCAGAGGTGCGTACGGAGTGCTGCCCGCGGCCACGCGCGGGCGCGGTAGGGCGCCCCGGTGTCGAGCCGGACGTCCGTGCCCCCGCGGTCCGCGACCCTCAGGAACTCTACGATCAGGCTGCGTTCCAACTGCGGGTCGCGATGTCCCGGCTGCTGGAAGTCGGGGACCACGTTCCAGTTCGCCTCGCACGTGCCCACAGCGAGGCAGCTGCTGCCCGGGATGGCGGCCGCTAGCGCCCCCACCTGAGCGAGCCACGAGCCGAGAAGATACATGACAGCCTGGACGCAGATCGTATTCCCGATCAGGGACTCAATGACGCTGTCTCGCTCGGCGGCGGGTGCACTATCTTTTACAGCGGCCTGGAAATAGAGACGGTCGAACCCCATCAGAGCAGCACGCTCCTCAGGCACAGGCAGCCGGCCCCGCTCACGCCTCGCGCCCCAGATGAGGCTGCCGTCCTCGTAGTTGTTGACCTGGTAACGGTAGCTGTCGGCAGCCCAGCGCTCCGCGGCCAGCACCGAGGCGCGGTCGAGGCCCACGGGCCGAAACGGCGGGTGGCGTCGCGGGATCGGCCTCGTAAAACAAGGAGGTCTGCCTCAGGGTCCAGCGTCGACCAGCCCTCCAGGAGCGAGGCACTCAGTGGGAGCCTCTCCACCGCAAGCGAGACCTTGAAATACGCGGCTTCACCCACACCCTTGGTCTCGACGGTGGCGTCGGACGCCAAGAACGCTGTGACGGGCCACGAGCACCAGTACAGGCGGGGCCGCCTGACGTGAGTGAGACACCTGGCATCGAGGAACACGGGCGTGACTCCAAGCGCCCTGGTGAACTCCGCCCTCGACTCTAGGGTCATGCTGAACACGTTCTCGACGAACCACATGGTGCGCTTGGGAAAGGCAGCCTCTGCTGCCTGGATCAGCTCGGGGACCCGGAAGAAGAGCCTCGACCTCGACCCCTCTAGGCCGGTCCCCACGGCATTGATGCTCGCAAGGTCTTGGCACGGGCTCCCCGCGGTCAAGACGACCCAGTCGGCGTCCCGCGCGTAGCCCTTCAGCATCTCAGTAAACCGCGCCGTGTCGATGGCCTCGATGTTGCCAAGCTCGATCACGCCCGCCCAGCGGCGACGCACCAGTCGCCGGGCAGCGGGCTCGACCTCGCAGCTGACATGGGCCATCACGTCGATCGGGGGTCTGGAGGCCGCCACCGCGGCCCCAGCGGCGCCTGCGAAGAGCTCGATGAGAACTATGCGAGGGCGCCACCGCACTCCCCGCACAGGGGCCGCAACTGCACCAGGCCGCAAAGTCACAGCCGAAGCTCCCCCTCTCGCGCACGCAACGCCCTGCGCCGAGAGCCCGGCCGTGTGGCAGATGCCCCCGGCGCGCTCGCTGGCATCGGTCGCTATGACACAAGTGTCGATCTTTGCGCGCAGGTCGGTGTAGGCCAGCGGCAGCGCCATCGCGAAGCCCAAGAGCTCGTCGCACATGCCAAGGGGAACAGCCTGCGGACGCGTCCAGCGCCCAGCAGCCCACACGCTGTTGAGGAATCCCATGAAAGGCCTCCTGAACTCCGCTGCCCTGACGCACCTGCCTAGGATCATGAGCGTGCCCTGCGACGAGAGGCCCTGTCTGCCCATGCCCCACAGGATGAACGCCAGCAGCTGGTGCAGCTTCTCGGTCGTGACTCCGACCCGGCCGACGGCCCCGTCAAGACCCGCGCCCATCCGCTCCAGGACCAGCGCGCGGTGCTTGGCCTTGCCGGGGGCGACGCTGATCCCCGAGCGGCCGTAGGCGGCCCTCTGCTCCTCCTGCGCGCAGCTCATCGTGCCGAGGAGCTCCGCGACCATCGCGTTGGGCACCACCTCGCCATGGTCCCAGTCGTCGATGTAGTACTGGATCCACTGCTGCTCGAGCTCCTTCGACTTGAACGGAAGTGGTCGGTCCTTGCGCCACTCGAGCTCTGCGGGAAACCCCGCAGCGAGGGGGCGAGAGCCGAACCCGAGGCGCCTGTGGCAGTGCTGAAACACCGTGACCGCGTTGATCCAGCCCATCGGGATGACACGCAGCGCGAGGTGAGTCTTCCCAGGACCCGGCACACCGATGAGCTCGTTCGGGATCGCCTCCGCGAGGGTCATGTATGGCTGCCAGGCCTCGGGCAGCTCGTAGCAGTAGAAAGCGGAGGCTTGGTCATCTGAGGACCAGAGCAGCATGTGGCCCTCTGGGAGCGGGATGGCGACCCACGAGGGCGACGCGCTAAGGGTCCCGATGTCATCCCTCATGATGCGCTGGTAGCTGTTGGCCGGGACCATGTTGATGATCAAACGCTGGACGCACGCCTGGCCAGGTGACGGCGTGCCTCCCTTGGCGACCCCGAACGCCCCAGCGAGCACCTTGCGGCTCCCGACCTTGAAGATGCGGTCGTCGGCGATCGGCGCCGCCAGCCCCAGCTCGACGAGCTTGGTCCCGATGCGGTACCACTCCTGCTTGGGCGTGACCTGGATCGCCGCCCGCGGGACCTCTGCAGGCCACTCATCTCGAGGGAGCAAAGCCAGCGTGGGGTCGGCAAGCCAGGCGCCCACCTGAGCGTCCGCGATGTCGACCGCCTTGACAGAGGCGGCGACGCCTCGCGCGGGGAGGCCTGGCATGATGCCCGCAAGCGAGAGCGGCAGGGCGCGGGCCGTCTCCTCGCCCCCGTAGGAGACGGTCCTCGACGCGATGACCTGGTCCCAGTCCGGGAGCTCGAAGGCTGTGGCGGCATCCTGAACGAAATACTCACAGGCCTCCTGCACAATGCCGAGCGCACTGACCTGGCTTGCCGTGGGCCGCCTCGCGGCGACGGTGGGACTACGCATGTGCCCCGTGTACTGGTAGTTCAGGCTGAAGACCACGAGCTGGGCCCACCCCTGCACCGTGGCGGCGTCCACCTCGCAGGTCTCCGGCAGCTGCTGGTGCAGGTACCAGGCGGCACGGTACCTCTCAAAGAGTGGGGCGTCGGGCAGCGGTAACGGCAACACCTCGCGCAGCCGCGCGAAGCTGGCCGTGGGGTCTGGCGAAGTGCACATCTTACGAACGTACCGCCCGATCGCCCCTGGCGAGCCGTGCACCGCCTCGTGGACTGCGAGGGCGAGCCTGAACTTGGAGCTGACGCCTGTGCCCACCTCGGCTAGCATCTGGCGCCACCGCCGAGCCTGCGAGCTGCCGCGTAGCTGCCGCTCAGGCGGGCGGAAGGCAGGCGGGGGCGTGCTCTGGGCCGCGGCCTTAGCCGCGTCGGCCCTCACGCCCGAACCCAGGCCGTCCTGCGAGCAGTGCTCGTGCCGCGGCTCTTCCCCGTCTTGCCTTTGCCGCGGCTCTTGGCAGCCAGCGGCCTCCCGATGCGCGCCTTCCACGCTGCCTGGGTCTCGCCCTCGCGCCTCGGGTGGGCCGCCTTGTGCTGCGCGAAGCTCCGGCCTGCCGCCGCCTCCGCTGGTGGCACGCGGGCGGCGGCTGCTGCGTCGAGGTCCCCCTCCGAGTCGCTCAGGAGCTGGACTGACCGCGTGGGACTGCGGCTGGTCCTCCGCGCTGCTGGCGGCTTCTTCCCGGCGGGGGGAGCTGCGGGACCGTCGCCTGGAATTCGTCCGGCAAGGATCCTCATCGCCTCGGGCGATCCCGAGACTGGCGTCCCGGGAGCAGGGGGCGGGGGGCGCGCCTCCGCGCGCCCATGGCCTGCAGGTGCCGTCCCCCCCTGCAACGGAGACGGCTCCCGGCCAGACCCCTAGCCCGGCCTGCGGTCTGCAAGTCGCTGGCGGAGTTCGGCGACCTTCAGCTCCCGGGCCTCGACCTTCTCGGCAGCGTTCTCCTCGTCCAGAGAGGCGCCTGATGGAAGCTGTTCCTGTGCGACCAGCGTGAGCCACCGTGCCGACCGCCAGTTCCCGTCGCGGATGGCCATCGTCCGCGCCTTGAACTCCTGCATGAGCAGATCCGCAGTCTCGACGACCTCTCCGCGCAGGATGCCGTCGAGCGCCAGCCCCAGCGTGCGGAGGACCCGCACCTCGTCTGTCCCCAGCGTCCGCGGCGGGTGAGCAACGAAGAACACCGTGTTCAGGAACTGTGTGACGCACGGGGCCAGAGGGTCGGCCTCGCCTGCGGATAACTGTTGGGTGAACTGGCTGCGCAGGTGGCCGAGCCCATTCTCGAGGAGAGCGCCGGGCCGCTGCCGAGCGATCCTGCGGAACAAGTCGCGCTTGATGTTCACGCCCTGGTAGCGGTCGCGGCCCCCAAGGCGCTCCGTGTCGCTCTCCGCGCCGTCCTCCGCGTCGTCGTCGTCGCGCCCCAGGAGCGCAGCGGTCAACGCTGACGCCAGCCTGCTCCTCGACCCCGTGGCGCTGGCGCGCGCAGAGGCAGCAGCGGCGGCTCGGCCAGCTACCACCTGCGCCAGGCGCTCGCCCACGGCTCCTGCTGGGCGCGCAGCATTCTTGGGCGTGCCCTGCCTCGGCACACCACGAGCTGCCCTGCCCCCGAGCCGCGCCAGCCGCGCCTCGAGCTCTGGGTCCTCGGCGGTCTCCTCGAGCCCCGCAATCTCCTGGTCGAGTGGGCTCGTCTCTCCTGGTCCGCCAGGGGTCTGGGTGCCCTCCACCTCGCGGGCACGCTTGCGCGGAGGCCCGCGAGGCTCCTCCTCGTCCTCGTTGGCCCCATCCCCGAGCGGCCAGCCGCCGAGCTCTCCAGGCAACGGCTCGGCCGAGGGCGCGTCGGTCAGCACAGGCGCCCCAGGATCCGCGGCCGGGCAGATGAGCTTCGCCTGCTCGCGGGCCACATCGCGGGGGTCCACCACCTGCCACACGTCCAAGTGCTCGACTACAGCGCCCACTGGGGCGACCGCCCCGCACTCGGCGGCGCTGCACTTGCAGAGGTGGAAGACCGTGGCCAGGGGGCGCGCGCCCTGCTGCCCGGAGGAGGCTGCATACCATGAGAAGTACGGGTCGCTGGCGCCCACATGCCGGCCCTTGAAGAAACGGCCGAAGGCGTCCGCTTGGTAGGCGACCTCCACTTCGAGCATCTCGACGCCCTGCGGCGCCCCGAAGTCGTCCTTGACACGCGCCAGGACCCGTGCACCAGCCCACAGCGGCAGCCCCGGCACCAGGTCGCCGTTCAGCGCCGCGTCGAGCCAGGCCCCTCTCGGGAAGGGCCACCCGACAGCTGCCGGGGCTGCCCGCTCCATCGGGCTCCTCGCCAGCAGCAGCGCGGGAGAGGGGCGACCCGCGCCCGGGATCCTCGTCTCCCAGCCAGGTCTTCGCTCCCCTCAGCCCGCAAAGTCTGCCAGCGAGGCTGATCAGAATCAGTCGTCCGAGCGTGGCCCTGCAAGCGGCCGCGCTCGGCGCGGCAAACTTTCAGTAGACAGAGTGGCTCGGCAGCGGCCACAGACGGGCGGCACCGCCCGGTGACTCCGCTGCCTGTCTCCAGCCAACACAGCTACGGAAGATGGATGAAACTCAACCGTTATCCATCAACGGCGTCGCGCACGCTCAGGTGGACTCCGCATAGGTTTCCTTGGAAGGTTCATATATATATAAAACAAAACCCCAGGTGGTTTCCAAAGTTTCAGCCTCCAGCACTTCAGTGTCGTTGTTGGTTTTGCTTTTTGTTCTCAGGGTTTTCCTAGAGCTATGGCTTTCCCTTGGAAGGGGGGAAGAGGGAGAGGATGATGAGGAGGGCGAACGGGGGGTGTGGGGGGGGGGGACGAGCAAGAGAAGAATGATGAGGATGAGAGGATGATAGGATGAAGAGAGAGGAGAAGGGGGAGGAAGAGGAAGAGGAGGAGGAGAAGGAGGAAAGTTCCGCGCAGGAGGAAGAGGAGGAACGTTTCGCGCAAAAATCTTAGAATCGCGGGGAGCCGAAAACGACTGAAGCCAAACCACGAAGCCCCCTTTGCACCTGAAGCCGAAACGAGAGCCCCGCCGGCACTGGGGCAGCAGGCCATCAGGGCCCCTCTCGGCTGGCCAGAGATCCAAGTGGGCTCGTCGGGCTGCGGGCGGACCAAACTCCTCGGGGCTGGTCGGGGCATGTCAGACCAACCGACATCCCGCCTGCATGAAGAGCAGCAGTAGGGGGAGATAGGCATAATTAGGGGGGGGGACATCGACCTAGAATCGGCGATACATCGCCGATAGGTCGGCGATAGGCCCCCGATAGTGAATCCGAACGTTCCTAGGCAGGTTCGGGCTATCGGGCCCCCATCGGCGATCAATGGGTGATGGGGGGTCGTTGCATCCCCCCTACGCCTATCCCCACCATCGTTGCCCCTGACTGCACCAAGACCCAAACACTCCCGCCAGAAGCAGGCCAGCAAAGCAGCGGGGCTGCACCTGGCGCTGGGTGATCGAGGTGGCCATCTGACAGGACTCCGTCTTCACTGGGCCCCTGCAAAAGTAATGCAAGTCCTCCCGCACCCAAGAAACACCGAAAGCCCACCAGGGGTCCTCAAAACGCACTCAAGACAGCAAGGGAACTTCGACCCTACATCGGCGACGCCGACGAAGGTTGCATGGCATCTTACAGTGCGTTCCAGGGCAGCACGGCAGCGAGGCAAGCCTGGCTAGTCAGAGCGTATGGCGAACCAGCCGGAATCCCACCAGCATTGACACAGCCAGGCAACAACGCTCGGTCGGGGCCTGTAGCGAGCTGGAGGTCGGAGGAAGTCTCGCCCGCTCTAGGCAGTTCTTTACAAGACGAGTGGGAACACGGACGGGGCGTGCATACTTGGCGGCGCACAAAGCGGGGGTAAGGCGAAGGGACGGCTGCTCACAAGAAACCCCCGTGCCGTCTTGGAACACCGCCCTCCTTGTTCCACCGCTTTGAGCGCGCCACCGACAAGGCAAAGTGTTCGCAATGCTTAATGGGAAGACAAATGTCACTGCATGGATCTGCAAACGTCTCAACAGAACTTGGCACTCATCCATGAAGGCTGGTCGATTGCCAGGCAGACCTGGATGAACATCATACCAACACAGCAACCAAAAACCTGGCACCATGAGGGTGATGCCTTGTGAGACCAGGCCGTGGATACACCAATTCACGGGTTGCACGAAACGTAATATCGTGTAAGGTGCAACTGCCCCATCCTTACTACACAACATGTCGCTTTGCATATTGCAAGGAAGGGAGACAACAAACCTCTCGCTACCAACGCCCTGAATCGACAGCCACATATACGCGAACTACTTCTTGCGAGGGAACGGCGAAGAGGGCGGGCGCCTGCCAAGCAGTAAATGCAGCGCTCCACGAAAGAAACTGCATAAACTTTCGACGGTCCGCACGAATTTATGGGATCAGCGCTGAACCCCCTCCCTGGCGCGCGGAGCGCGCCAGGGCCAGCGCCAGAGGGCACCGCCAAGGGGTGTCAGGCGCAGATCCAAGAAATCCGGGCGGAGCGCCGAAACTTCGATCCACGGGCACAGCTGCGGAGAGCGCGATCGAAACCCGCAGCGAGCCAGAGGCCAGGATGAGGCCACCCGTGGAACCTTGCCCCCCCGCCCCCCCGCCCGAGCAGTGGCGGATGCGCGCGGCAGCGAAGCTGGATTGGGGAGGGCGCGTGCTCTGGGTGGTTGTCTACGAAGCATCCCCACCCACCGCCTACCGAACCCTCCCCTCCCCTCGATCGAACCACCACCACCCTACGCCCTGCGAAGGACAGTCCATTCCTACAACCGCACGCGATCCACCCCCCCACGGTCAGTGAGCAGCCCGGAGAACGAATCACGCAGCGCTGTTGGGTGAAAGCTGGGCCACGGCGCACCAAATGCAGGGGGCATGCGCTCTCACTTCCGGGGGGGGGGTCTAAAGGCACGAAACGGCGTCCTCTCTGCAGGAGCCGCCCCAGTAGAGCGCGAGGTTGATGAGCGTGAGGTTGCTCATCTGGACCATGCCATCCTGCAGATCGAGTGCGGGGGAAGGAAGTCTCTGGAGATATCTTCGCGGGCAAAATGTATATCCATATCCACTGCGTCCTGGTGTTTCGGGCTCATTGCCTCAGACAGCCAATGCGCAGTGGATGTGAATAGAGATCGGGCCTCTAGAGGCTAGATTTGCATTCACATCCACTGCACATTTGCCTATCACTGCCCCTTCCTAGACAGTCCAAGACGCAGTGGATGTGGATACAATCTTGCCCGCACTCCTGCAAATCGAGGGCGCCAGGGAGGGAGGTCCCTGGAGATGTCCCGAGGCCCCCCGAAACTCAAACACATCGTAGTGCACGTTGCAACTCTGCTGCGCTGTCTGCTCGAAGACTCTACTAGACGTGCTCCTCCTCCGTTCCACCCTCATGCTCCCCCGACTGCTTCTCCTCCGTGTGCCCACTCCTCCATATCCCCCATTCGCCCCCTCCACGTTCTCCGTGTCCCGCATACCTCCCTACTCATCCGCCCACTGTTCTCGCTCGACAGGTGAGGGACAGACGTTAGCACTATTGCACAACGTGAACTGGATATCTCGTCTGTTAACGGAAGATGTTGAAGTGCTCTTCGAGCTGATCAGGTCGGCTCACATCGGCTGGCTTTCGGATCACAGATGGCACAACGCGTTCACTTTTCGTGACGATGATCTCAGACGGACCTATTGTCGTAGAGGTCCGGATCCTCGCACCGAGATCCAAGAATCTGCGTGGGTCCGCTGGGCCCTGCGACCAGCACCCTAATCCTCCCCCTCTGCTGCAAGTGTCATAACCTGTGTCCGCAACAACGCCACAACTGAGGCACGCGCGCGGAAACGAATGGCACGCGCATGCAAGATCCTACAAATATGTGGGCCAGACGGAAGCTTTGGGAAGGGCGCCGGAGTCAGAGGATGGGCAGAGGATGGGCAGAGGGTGGCATCGTGGAAAGTGGGAACAAGAACAAAATGGTGAATAATTTGTCGCGGGGATCGTATTTCTAGTTCGCGCGCGCGGGGCGGCCCCTGGGGGTCCCCCGGCGAAAAGTACCCCGACCAACGCCCGACCGCCGCCCGACCGCCGCCCGACCAAGTCTACTCAGAGATGGTTTTCCTTCTGGGTGCGGCCTCTCAGGCTCCCCAGAGCGCGCTCAGAGTGCCCCAAGAGGCCCCCAAGACTGCCCAAGAGGCCCCCGAGACGCCCAAAGAGCGCTCGAAGACGCCGAAGATGACCCCAAGACGGCCCAAAAGGCCCCCAAGACAGCCCAAGAGGCCTCCAAGACGCCCCAAGAGCCTTCCAAGAGGCCTCCGAAGAGAGCCCCAAGAGGCCAAAATCGTTGATTTTCATTTGTTTTTTCTATGTTTTTTGTGTTCTGGCTTTTTCGGCTTCCGGACGCTCCAAGACGGCCCAAGAGGCCCCCAAGACCGCTCCAAGACGGCCCACGAAGCTCCCAAGACGGCGCCGAAACGACCCAAGAGAGCCCTCAAGACGGCCCAAGTGCCGCCCAAGACGGACCAAGAGGCCCCAAGACGGGCCCAAGAGGGACTCAGGAGGGATACCGAGAACTCAAAAATGGAGCCCTCCGTCCCAGAAGGCGCCCAGGAGGTCCCAAAGAGGCCCCAAGAGGCCTCCAAGAGGCCCCAAGATGTCGCCAAGAGGCCCCAGGAGACTCCCAGGAGGCCCAAAAGAAAGAAGACAGCCCCAGAAGGCTTCATGTCTCCCAGGCGCCCCCGAACGGCCTCTCAACAGACCCCAAGAGGCCCCCCAAAGAAGCATCTTGACGACGACTCTATTTCGCCCCATCGAGAGACGACCCCCAGGGAACTGCTTCACCATCAAAACTCCCCACGCAACGCGTCCGAACGACACCCGCCCCCAAGAGCGCAACATGGGCAACGAACACACAGACAAAAACCAGCGATGCCATATCACGGGCCGGCGGAATGAGCGAAGCGATTCAATAATTTGTCGCGGGGATCTGGCGGTCGCACAGGCCGCTCGAGCATGCCAGGGGCACCGAGCGGCGAACGATGCGCTGGAAGAGACAGAGGGAGGACGAACAACGGAACCAGCGAGATGGCACGGGAGCGGGTGGCATGCGGGCCCCGGCTCCTGCCAAGAGAAGGACGGACGGGGAAGAGGATTGCGGGGAGCATCGTGGGGCCATCCCGGGACTTGCTCAGGGCAGCTTGGGAATCTCCTGCGGCGTCCTGGAGCCACCTAGAGACACCTTGGGCTTGCTCGGGATAGGTGAGAGAGAATGGGGATCTTCTCGGGGCGTGCTGAGGATCTGCGGGGGTGGTGTTGGGTTATCGCGAAGCCGTCCCGAATATGGCTCGGGGTCCAGGTTGGCTCATCCTTGTGGGCCTCCCGGGCCGTATCGGGAACTCGCAGGGCCCCCGCTGGACCTTCTCGGGAGCACCTGCGGCACGTCAGCGAGCCATCTGGAGCAGGAGCGAAACGATAACCACAAAAAATGCTCCAATAAGCTCCCCAGATGTCGGACGCCATGATTTTTCCATGACGTCGACCCACAAAAGTTTCGACCTACTCCCCAGGACCCGTATTTCATCCTGGGTCGTTTTTGCCGACGGTCCCGAGGACCGGTGAGTGTCCCCAGAGCCCGAAAACAGCGAAAGCCTCCCCTCGTGATCTTTGCATGACTGGAGGGGGTCCGGGCCATGAGTTCACACCAGCTGCACCTCTGGGGAGTCCTGTACGAGAACTGCACGTGCAGGCCTCGGTGCGCCCATCTTTGCCCAGGTAGTCTTCCGTGCCTCCAGGGCATCTACAGGGTTCCCCCGCAGACCATACTGGAAGGCACGTTGAGGGCGAGACCCGGGGGGGGGGACGGTACGGGGACAGGAAGGTAGAACCCCTTCAGGTTCGACCCCGGGTTCGCACCCACACCCTCCCCCAAGATTCAAAGTTGGGTCGGGCCTCGTGAGGGGCCCTGGGGGTCCACTATTCATGCCCTCTCGCGCCTGTGCTGCCGAATGCCTGGGACCATCGTTGAATCTGGGGGGCGGAGGCGGAGTCAAGGATTTCACTTTTTTGTCCATCGACGGGAGGGATCTGATCCCTCCCGTCGATGGACAAAAAAGTGAAATCCGAAGGGTCGGCGACTCCGAAGGATGTGGTTTGCAAAGGGTGTGGCTTGCAAGCATCACCCGGGGGGGGGGGGCGGGCGAGGACCTCGACAGAGATCCCCGCCTCGCTCCGAGGAGGCCCGGCGAGGACAACATGGTGCCCCCCAAGCCCCAACAACGACGCAGATCTAGGGCTCCCAACTTCGCGCTTCGCGCTCCGCGAAGCGCGAAGCGCGAATAACTTCGCGCTCTCGCGCCGCCCCCCCAAAGGGACAAAAGGAGGACGAGGAGGAGGGGGAGGAGAAACGAGGACCGCGAAGCGCGAAGCGCGAATAACTTCGCGCCCTCGGGGGAGCCCTTGCAGATCGCAAGCCACATCCCGGCATGACCATACCCTTTGCAGTCGCTGGCTCTTGGGCATCCAAGACTCCTTGGTAGTCTGTCCTGGGAGGTACGTTGAGGGCGAGACCAGGCGGAGGGATCAGGGGGGTGTTTGGAAAGCTTTCCGAGATGGGGGGCCTGGTGGGTCGCGCAGCCCTTCGAGATGATCCACTGCGAGATCAGCCACTTGGTATGACGACAAACGCTCAACGTAGGCGGCGCTCGGGGATGCGGAGAAGATTTCGGCCTCTGAACATTTCTTCTATTCGCGATAACGGCTGTCACCAGCCTCGCCACCCACCCCCGTCCCTGGTCACGCCACGACTCGCGCAAGCGCAGTCTGGGAATCCCACCTGCCCTCTGGGCGTAGGTTGTCTAGGGCTAGGGATGCTCCTCTTCCAACCCCCTTCTTCCCCTTCGGAGAGGAATTCAACATCGTTCCTTATCAATATGCACCCCCTCCCCCACCCGGCCGGCGGCCAACCCGGAACCATGCCAACTCCATGCGGGCCCGCCCCCCACCATACCTGTCAAAAAACGTACAAAACGCACTCTGCCTCCACATTTGGAGCATGCGCGGCCAACCCGATGCGCCCCCCCCACCATCCCCAAGGGGGTGGAGGGAGGGGGGAAAGCTTCTTAGGAGGAGGCGCGCTTCTAAGAAGCCATCCCCCCTCCCCCCACCCCCCTCTGTGTGTGGCTGACACCAATGGTCTCCCGGGCCGCCCGATCTGGCCGGAATCATGGCCCCCCCCCAAACGCCAACCGCAGCATTCCCTGGGCCACCCAACCTCGCGCATCGGAACCCCGTGGCGCACGGCGCTCTTCGCGCACCATCGCCCCGCCATCCCTTCGAGGGAAGGGCACAGTTTTGCGTCCCCGTGACCGACCCAAACTCCCCGAATGGTCCAGAAACCCACCGCCGCATCCAGAGGAACAAAAAAAACGGCATGAGCATAATTTCTCGGAGTTCCGTCGCGGAGCTCCAAGGAACTATGTGTATGATGTTGCTGATACTCAAGTCTCCTAGCGCCCGAACGACAGCATGGGGAATCCGTCTGCCTGCCCGCCCGTTGTAAGGGGGGGCAGCTGCGTCCTCCTTCGCCGGTCGGACGTCCGCCAACCTTGCGGCGTCAGCGGCCCGCTGGGGCGCGCACGCGAGAGGGCAGAAGAGCCACGATTCGAGTAACGCAGAATGCGCAGCAGATCCGACGAAAAAGAAATTCCACCAGCCCTCTGGGCGCAGGCGGTTTAACGAGTTTTGTTCTCTCTGGCAAAATCCATCCTTCACCTGCTCGGGGGGGGGTACCCCTACCCCTACCCCCCTCCACTGGGCCTGGGACCAAGATGGCTCCAAAAGGGCCTCAAAGACCCAAAGATGGCCTCCAAGATGGCTCAAGGTAGCTTGAAATGGCCCAAGATAGCCTCCGACATGCCTCCAAGAGGCTCCAAGACAGCCCCAAGACGGTTCCAGTGGCCCTGCGAACCGTCCATGAACCCCCCAAGAGGCCCAAGTCCTTGAAGCAACTTAGGAACATCAACGTTTTTGTGTTCTCGCTTCTTCGCTTCCGATGCTTGTCAGGCATTACGACGACCCCACAATGGCCCAAGGAAACCCCGAGAGGGGCACAAGCGGGCCCAAAGGCAGCCCCAAAAGCGCCCAAGAGGGCCCCAAGAGGGTGTTGAGCCTCCAAGGGGGGGGCCTGAATTCAATACCCCAGCCTCTTTTGATACATGGGGCCCAAGATCGGCCCCAAGAGGCCTCCAATACCCACCCGAAGAGCCCCAAGAGGCCCCCCAGACCGCCCCAAGAGAGCCCCACGAGTACCCAAACAAGCAAACACCGCTGAAAAGCCAGAGGGGAATCACTGTTGGTACGTTCTTGCCGTCACGCTTACGATGGCCTTCCGAGGCCTCGAAATGGCTCGGATTGTGGGGTATCGCAGGGTCATTGTAGGAGATCTTTGCAGGGTCAGTGCAGGTTATTTGAACGGTCGTTGTAAGGGTATTTCCACGGTCTTCGTAAGGTCTCTGCAAGGAGTTTTCGGTTGGCTCCAGAAAAGCTCGTGGAGAGCAAGCTCCGCGACGGTTTCATGGTTGACTCGTCGTTGCCGTCGTCGGCTCCATCGTCGTCCCCTTCTTCCTCCCCCATCCATCTACTGGTTCACCCTCTTCTTTCTTCATTACTCCTCCAATTATCCTTTCCGCCTTCCTCCTCACGTTGCCAAAGGTAGCCTCCCCGGCCAAAAAAGGTTTCAGGATCACTCCAAAGGGGCCCCAAAAGACCCCAATGAGCCGCCGCGCCATGGAAACACTCGTTACATACATAATTCAACACATGTTCTCGCCGTTTCAGAGCCCCCGAAACACTTCCAACGTGGTTGTTCCGCTGCATGCTTCTACACTTCCCTGATCAAGGCAAGTCGCCTGGCGATCTGTTTCTGGATGGGCTGGTGGGGATACTTTTTACCTAACAGCTTGTTCTGATAGGTTTCTAGTTACCTAACAGCGAAGACTGATAGGTTTCTAGTGGGGTCAAAAGAGAGCAGCAGATGACTCCACAGGGGGGTCTGGGCGGGTGCCGGACAGGGTGCCGCAGAACTCATTTTAAGCCAACAGTCACACACTTCGTGGTCTTCGACTTCCCAGAACTCCATTCCCGGGCCACATTCTGAATGCCCGGAGCCAACTGTAGGCCACTTCGTGCTCTTCGATTTCCCAGAACTCCATTCCCGGGCCACATTTTGAATGCCCGGAGCCAACTGTAGGCCACTTCGTGCTCTTCGAGTTCCCAGAACTCCATTCCCGGGCCACATTTTGAATGCCCGGAGCCAACTGTAGGCCACTTCGTGGTCTTCGAGTTCCCAGAACTCCATTCCCGGGCCACATTTTGGATGCCCGTAGCCAACTGTAGGCAACTTCGTGCTCTTCGACTTCCCAGAACTCCCATTCCTGGGCCACACTTTCAGCAGGGGCAAGAGCACGACGAGGAGGAGGACGAGCAAGACCAGGAGGACGAGGACGAGCAGGAGCAGGACGAGGAGCAGGAGGAGCAGGAGAAGAAGGACGAGCAGGAGGAGGAGGAGGACGAGCAGGAGGAGGAGGACGACCAGGAGGAGGAGGACGACCAGGAAGAGGAGGAGGAGGAGGAGGAGGAGGGGAGGGGGAGGACTACCAGGAGGAGGAGGAGGAGGAGGAGGAGGAGGAGGAGGAGGAAGGAGGAGGAGGAGGACGAGGAGGAGGAGGAGGAGGAGGACGAGGAGGAGGGGGGGGGAGAGCACCAGGAGGAGGAGAACGAGGACCACCAGGAGGAGGAGGAGGAGGAGGAGGAGGAGGAGGAGGAGGAGGAGGAGGAGGAGGAGGAGAGAACACCAGGAGGAGGAGGACGAGCAAGACGAGGAGGACGAGAACGAGGGACGACCAGGAAGAGGAGGAGGAGGAGGAGGGGAGGGGGAGGACTACCAGGAGGAGGAGGAGGAGGAGGAGGAGGAGGAAGAGGAGGAGGAGGACGAGGAGGAGGAGGAGGAGGACGAGGAGGAGGAGGGGGGGGGAGAGCACCAGGAGGAGGAGAACGAGGACCACCAGGAGGAGGAGGAGGAGGAGGAGGAGGAGGAGGAGGAGGAGGAGGAGAGAGCACCAGGAGGAGGAGGACGAGCAAGACGAGGAGGACGAGAACGAGGACGAGCAGGAGGAAGAGGAGGAGGAGGAGGAGGAGGAGGAGGAGGAGGAGCAGGAGAAAAATGGAGGAGGAGGAGGAGGAGGAGGAGGAGGAGCAGGAGAAAGAGGACGAGCAGGAGGAGCACGAGGACGAGCAGGAGGAGGAGGAGGAGGAGGACGAGCAGGAGGGGAGGGCGGCCGGCTGCCCCGGCCAGGTCCTACACATGGCTGTTAGGTTGCTTTGCCGGGATAATGGGGCCAAAAGAGAGCAGCAGATGACTCCACAGGGGGGTCTGGGCGGGTGCCGGACAGGGTGCCGCAGAAGTCGTTTTAAGCCAACAGTCACACACTTCGTGCTCTTTCCCAGAACTCCATTCCCGGGCCACATTCTTGCCCGGAGCCAACTGTAGGCCACGACTTCCCAGAACTCCATTCCCGGGCCACATTTTGAATGCCCGGAGCCAACTGTAGGCCACTTCGTGGTCTTCGACTTCCCAGAACTCCATTCCCGGGCCACATTTTGAATGCCCGGAGCCAACTGTAGGCCACTTCGTGCTCTTCGAGTTCCCAGAACTCCATTCCCGGGCCACATTTTGGATGCCCGGAGCCAACTGTAGGCCACTTCGTGGTCTTCGAGTTCCCAGAACTCCATTCCCGGGCCACATTTTGGATGCCCGGAGCCAACTGTAGGCCACTTCGTGGTCTTCGAGTTCCCAGAACTCCATTCCTGGGCATGATTTTGAATGCCCGGAGCCAACTGTAGGCCACTTCGTGTTCTTCGAGTTCCCAGAACTCCATTCCCGGGCCACATTTTGAATGCTGAGGCAGGCTGAGGCTGAGGCTGAGGCAGGCTGATGCTGAGGCAGGCTGAGGCTGAGGCTGAGGCTGATGCAGGCTGAGGCTGAGGCAGCTGAGGCTGACGCCGAGGCTGAAGGCAGACTGAGGCTGAGGCTGAAGCAGGCTGAGGCTGAGGCTGAGGCAGGCTGAGGCTGAGGCAGGCTGAGGCTGAGGCTGAGGCAGGCTGAGGCTGAGGCTGTGTCTGTGACTGCCGTTGCCACTGCGACTGTCATCGCGAATGCGACTACGACTGCGAGAACAGCAGAATTCTACAACTGGATTCTCATTTGAATCTTAAGGGGAATGCTTCCAGATATGCTCCTACACATCGCTGTTAGGTTGCTTTGCCGGGATAATTACCTAACACCGAAGACTGATAGGTTTCTAATAGGGTCAAAAGAAAGCATCATGACTCCCCAGGGGGGTCTGGGCGGGTGCCGGACAGGGTGCCGCAGAAAACGTTTTAAGCCAACAGTCACACACTTCGTGCTCTTCGACCTCCCAAAACTCCATTCCCGGGCCACATTCTGAATGCCCGGAGCCAACTGTAAGCCACTTCGTGGTCTTCGAGTTCCCAGAACTCATTCCCGGGCCACATTTTGAATGCCTGGAGCCAACTGTAAGCCACTTCGTGGTCTTCGAATCCCCAGAACTCCATTCCGGGGCCACATTTTGAATGCCCGGAGCCAACTGTAGGCCACTTCGTGCTCTTCGAGTTCCCAGAACTCCATTCCCGGGCCAGATTTTGGATGCCCGGAGCCAACTGTAGGCCACTTCGTGGTCTTCGAGTTCCCAGAACTCCATTCCCGGGCCAGATTTTGGATGCCCGGAGCCAACTGTAGGCCACTTCGTGGTCTTCGAGTTCCCAGAACTCCATTCCTGGGCATGATTTTGAATGCCCGGAGCCAACTGTAGGCCACTTCGTGTTCTTCGAGTTCCCAGAACTTCATTCCCGGGCCACATTTTGAATGCTGAGGCAGGCTGAGGCTGAGGCTGAGGCAGGCTGATGCTGAGGCAGGCTGAGGCTGAGGCTGAGGCTGATGCAGGCTGAGGCCGAGGCAGCCTGAGGCTGACGCCGAGGCTGAGGCAGGCTGAGGCTGAGGCAGGCTGAGGCTGAGGCTGAGGCAGGCTGAGGCTGAGGCTGTGTCTGTGATTGCCGTTGCCACTGCGACTGTCATCGCGAATGCGACTACGACTGCGAGAACAGCACAATTCTACAACTGGATTCTCATCTGAATCTTAAGGGGAATGCTTCCAAATATGCTCCTACACATCGCTGTTAGGTTGCTTTGCCGGGATAATTTTGTCAACAGGCTCGCGAGGCGTGTCGAAAACCACCCACACACTAGTCGGGCCGCGACTACGCAGCAAGAAGAAAAAAACAAGCGAAGCGAGCGACCGGGCAGCCACTCAGGAGAAGAGGCAGAACCGATACTCCGAAACCCTGTGGCGTGGAAATCCCGGTGGCGACCAGCAAGTAAACGCAGCCAAAATGTCACAGCGGCGCGACCATAAACACGCAGGGGTCGAACGCTCTGTGTGAGTCAAGCAAACGCAGTCGAAGACGAACTGGACCGACAACCACACCCAGACGACACCCGTGAAATAGCCGACACAAATGCCGAAACATCGTGTCGGCGCCGGAGTGAGGAGGGGCAACCTCAACACCGAAAAGACTGCAAACGACAGTAAAACCTGTTACACTTGTCGAAAACAAAGTCCATGCTGGTGGGGACACGCGGGGCGTCCAGAATTCTGGGGTAACTCAATTATGTAATCGATGTCCTACTCGAACGATTGAGGCTCGGTCCTGGCCTTTCTGAGATTGTCTGGACATGGCCCTCGTAAAACCGAGGCCTCCTGCGATGGTGTCCATAACAAGAGGGAAGCTGCTGCCCCCTCCGTGTGGAACCAGCCCCGCCATCTCTCCAACGAGCAATCCCACACATTGGGCGTGACCGAACGGCGGGTGATCAGTGGGGTGGGGTGGGGGGGGAAGTAAGCGTACACCTTCCGTGTCCCTGTTGGGCCACAGGAGACCCTGCTAAGGCCCCTTTGGGGCACAAAAGGTGCACCATTCTTCACCCCCGATGTATCGCATCCCAGCTACTCGACGCCCAGTCACAGATCGATCTACAAGTGTGGGTCGGAAACTCCAACGAGCGGAAGACTTGAGCAAGCTGTGCCGAACCACGCTGTGAGCAAGCTTAGACTATGGAGGAGCCATGCGGCTAAGACGTGCCGTTGAGATAGCAGTGCAGGTGGGTGGGTACGATGAAAATGCGAGGTAAACGCCACGACTTCAGCCGTAGCGTACCGGTGGGAACGCACCGAGATGCTAACGTCGCCACGAGGCTGATACGCAACAGGACACCATGATGAAAGCTGCTGAGCGACATGAGTAGCTCCGAAACCGACGTAACGCATGCGCGATGAAGTGATGAACTAGCTACCGTGGAACCTGCAGCATAGCGTCGAAGTGGCAATGGGGCACTGTTGGCTTACACTCGTCTGGTAACGGTACAGCTTGCCTCGCCGTGCTTAAGAAAACCTACGATCATGAATTATTAGCGGATTTGTGCCGGGCGCATCCCCACTACACATCGGGCCCTTCTCCTCCGCGTTGTCCCCAACCTGTCTCACCTTTGACCAATACATTGAATGTATATGCCAATGCGGAGGCCAATTCGATCCGCCTCCCTGACCTCTGGCGCGCACTGGGGTAACCTTGGGCACGCCAAGAAGGGCCTAGAAACTGGAGTAAGGCCAGGTACATGAAAGTGATAGATTCGGCTTCCTCCTCGCCCATACAGGAAAAAGATTAGATAGAGGAGGGGGGAAGGAAGAGGAGGAGGAGGATTCTCTTCTTCCCGCCCCCCCTACATCCCCAAAGCAGGACGAATCCCACCTTCAATGCAATCACAGCGAGGGCGGCGGTGGGAAATCCATGCTGCCGTGTGTCCTATCACCATGCCGAGCTCTCAGGTTCCTACGTCCACCACCATGCTGTTTCTCCTATGTCCACCACCATATCCACCGAGTGGAGAGCTCTCAGGTCCCGTCGAGCTCTAAAACGGGCGGGGCCGCCATGCGGGCGCTGCCGCTCGGGCCGCCCGCAAAGGGCGCGGAAGTCAGACGAAACGGGCTACATGCCGATACAACCCGTTGCGGCTGACGGGCACCCTGGAGAAGTGGAAGAGAACATTCGTGCGCAGCCACTGGAGCCTTGTGGCGCTCCCTACTGGGCCACGAAACGTGTGAGGGGTGTGCCAAAGTGAGGGGGGCGGCATGCGGGCGCAGCCACTGGGGCCTTCGGTGGAGCTCCCAAGGGGGCCGCGGATCGTGTGAGGGGTGTGCCATGGTAGGGGGGGCGGCATGCGAACGCATCCACTGGAGCCTTCGGTGGAGCTCCCTGCGGGGCCACGGAACTTGCAAGGGGAGTGCCCAAGTGGGGGGGGGGGGGGCGGCACGCGGGCACAGCCACTGGGGCCTTCGGTGGAGCTCTCTATGGGTCCGCTGAACGTGTGAGGGTTGTGCCAAAGTGCTGGGGTGGAGGCATGCGGGCGCAGCCACTGGGGCCTTCAGGGGAGCTCCCTATAGAGCCACGAAACGTGTGAGGGGTGTGCCAAAGTGAGGGGGGGGGCGGCATGCGGGCGCAGCCACTGGGGCCTTCGGTGGAGCTCCCGATGGGGCCACGAAACGTATGAGGTGTGTGCCGACCACGGAATTCTGGGCGCTCTCGGGCCCTCCTGGGGCGGCTCGCATGCATTTCTGGAGGGCTCGGGGACGCAGGTTGGGACACGCATTTCCACCACGCCCTAAGATGCAGCCCGTCTTGGAGCTGGCTTGGGGACCTCTGGGGCCGTTTTGGAGGCCATGGGGGCCAGTCCCAGACGCCACAATCACTGAAAAACCTTATCGGGTCGGGCGAAAGGGGGGGATAGCAAAGGGGGGGGTTGATAATCAGCTCAAGTAGCTGATTTTCCCAGCGCCTCCCGGCGCCGGGAGGCGCCCATGTGTCGAGGACTGGGCCCGGCGGCGGGGCTGAAACCAGCTGCATGCAGCAGATTTCGTAACCCCCCCTTTCCCCATCCCCCCCTTTCGCTCGGCCCGACCTTACGGCTCATATGATTTGAACAGACGTGCTTATCTGGTGGGTCTTCCGAGCGGCCAGCAGACTGGCCAAAGGGCCCAAAAGATCGCCCACGACGGCCCACGAGATCCCCAAGAGGGCAAGAGCGAGAACTCGAACTGACATTTCGAGTCCTTCCCTCCGAGATGTCCTCAGAGACCGCCAGCGGGACGCCAAGACGCCCCCAGGAGCCCCCCAAGACCTCCAAGAGTCCCCCGAGAGGCTTCCAAGAGGCTTCTCAAGATGCTTCGAATCTGCTCTTGTCTACCACCACAGCACGGTGGTGGCGGGATGGGCCGAAAACCACTGATATCCGCCGCCCTCTTTTGCTTGTCACACAATTCTTAACGCATGTTCGAAATGGTATCTCGGTACATCCAGCCGGACACCTGTAAAAATCACAAGCACAGAAAACTCGCGGCCAACGACGGTCCAAGATGGCCTCAAGGGGCCAAAGAGGCCTCACATTTGTCCAAGATGCAGCCAAGGCGGCCAACTGTGGCCCCAAGACCGCCCAAGACGGCCCAAGGAGGCTCTCTTGGAGGGCGAAATCATTGATCCCCATACGTGATTCCACGGAACTTCGCGTTCTCGCCGTTTCGGGCTTCCGACGACCGAGAACAGCAACACGAGCCTCAAAGTCAACCTCCAGCAAGGTTCCCAAGAAGCCCCGCCGCTACGGTCATCGTCAGCGTCGTCGTCCGCGTTGCTGTGTTCGTTCGTCCGTCGCCGTCGTGTCGATTGCCGTCCTCGCCGCCGTCGGTCGTGTTCGCCTTCGCCTCCTTCGTCGTCTTCGTCGTCGTCGTCGTCGTCGTCGGTGGCCCGTTTCTCTTCCTGGACCGCGTACCGCCCACGCGGGCGCACGCGAGGCCGACCTAGAACTCTAGAGTCCTTCCAGGAGGCCCTTCACAGGCCCCCAGCCCTGAGAGGCCTCTTCCTCGTCCTCTCTCTCCACCCTCTCCTTCTCCTCCTCATCCTTCTCCTGTCTTCCACCAAGGTGTTCAACAACCGCTGGAGGGAACACATACCACAATGCATATAGGACCACCATTCGGATGAGAATTAGGGACGGGCGCAGCTGTCGATTTGCGATTGGCGTCGGATCGGACTCGCAAACCATCGATCGAACTGTCTCGATGTGTATCGGTCGATCCCCCTAACTATCCATCGATCTCCTGATATGGTCCATCGACAAAAAAGACGGGGGAACCGTCAGAACAACAGTGGGAACAACAATCGAGACAACAAACAAGACAAGCAACGCACACCGCACAATGCAACCACGCGACAACCACACAGCAACCACGACGCACCCCCAGAACAACCGCATGACAACCTCTGGACGACAACGGGACAACTACGACATGATCGCGGGACATCGATGGAACAACCACAAGACAACCACAGAACAAAGACGGGGCAATCACAGAACAACCAGTGGACCACTACAAGACAATCGGGGCAACCACAAACAACCACGGCACAATAACGGGACAAGTACAAGACAACCACGGAACAAAACACTGAAGAATCACTGGACAACCACGGGTAACTTCAAAACACTCGTTGGGACAACCATGGGCCCATGGGACACCCACAGGACAACCACGCGACGGCTACACGACATATACATAACAATCACGGGACAATCGTCGGACAACCTCGGAACAACCACGGGACAACCACAAGACAACCTCGGAGCAACCACGGGACAACTACGGGACAACCTCGGAACAACGAAGGAACAAAACATGGGACAACCACAGGACAACCATCGGGACAACGCGGGACAGCCGCGGGACAACACCGGCACAACCACGGGACAACCGCAGGACATCCTGGGCCCTACTGCCTGGCAGCCAGGGGGAGGAACAATATGATTTGAACCTCCCCTACTACAAGGTCGGTATCAGCCCCATCCTCGCGCAGATTCTCCTCGCCGGCACGCACGACATTAATCGAAACTGAAACTGATGTTGCGCATTGGGGACTTCGGGTCACTTCGACGTTGGTCCCCCAACCTCCGAGATTGCCCAGTTTTTGGCCCAACGTTAGGCCACACAGGTGAGAGACCTCCTCGAAACTCCCACAAGCACTAAGTGCGCATCAAACTCATACTCAAGTAGCCCCCCTCAAGACTCCCCTCTCTCCCCCCTCCCCCCTCACTCCTGCCCCTCTCAGAAACTACGTGGGCCGCCGGAGACCTCGGACCCCGTCCCCCTGACATGTTGTTCGTCATGGTCACTGGTTGACGGCCCAGGAGCCCGAAAGGCCGTAGGAGACCTCGCACCCCATCCCCCTGACATCTTCTTCATCACAGTCACTGGTTGCCGGCCGGCTGGGGACCGAACACGGATCGAGAACGCAGAGCAGCCTGCCACCGCTGCCTTCCCACGACGCTGCGTGGCTGTCCGACCGCATCGGACCCGCGCCGAGAACTCCGGGAGCCCTCCGCCCCGCACAGGGCGCGAGCGGCCGGGCCTGAGCGCCCGCAGCACGAGGAAGGAGATCCTGCCAGGCAGCCTCCCCGCCCTCCTCCGGGGGGAGGGGCGGCCTCCGAGGGCACGGCCCCCCAGGGGAGGGCAGGAGGGCGACGAAAGGGGGGGGAGAGCGGCGGAGGGCAGAGGGGAGGACCGGTCGGCAGTGCGGGGGAGGGCCAGGGAGGAGGGCGGGCGAGGAAGAGGAGGAGGAGGAGCGAGGGAGGGAGAGGCCGGTGGGAAGGGGGGCGGAGATGCGGCGGATGAGGAGGAGAGGGGAGAGGAGGCGGCAGAAGGACGAGAGGGAGGGACGTGTATGGCGGGGGAGAGAGAGGGAAGAGAAAGAGTGCGAATGACAGAGAGGAGGGAAGTGAGGAGGACGACGGCGGAGTAGGGCGGGCAGGGCAGGAAAGGGCGGACGAGGAATGGAAGGAACAGGATGATTGTGGCAGAGGGGGGCGGAGGAGGAGGAGTAAGGCATGCCCTCACAGAAGAAGGTGTGCCAGCGACCGAGGCCGCGAGACCAAATACAACACGTGCCAACTGAAGAGCGCACGATGCCGAACTACGAAACGCAACTCAACGTAAAACCAATTCCAGACCCTGCGACATCCGCAACACTGGTCACTTACCTTTACCGCTCGATATGTTTCCCGCTTGCTCGGCCTTGAAAAACGTTCGGTGCCGTCATGGTCGTCATTGCAGGGTCGTGCTCACAGGGTCGTCTTCTTTTGGGGTGGGATGCGAAGCGACTTGTGTTGCGCCAGGCGAACCACATCGAATCGTGGCGTGAAACGTCGCAACATGGCGTCGCATGGGCAGATAGGACACAAGATGTCCTGGAAATTTGCACTTGAGCAGGCGCGCCGCTTATCTAACCACCCCTCTTAATGGGAGCAAGCGATCTTGTATATAAACAACTTTCAGGGGCGGACGATTAACCACATGATTTCGCTGGCCTTCGCGCCACCGCAATAGCGAGGGGGCGGGGCAAGCAGACGGAGGGCGGACAATCCCGGGTTGTCTCGAGGCCCCGGGGGGGGGGCGCGGGCTGACAATTCAGGGCGGGGAGGCGGGGGGTCAATTCAGAGCTGGGCAAGCAAGAGTTGGGAATGACTTGGCAGGCGGACGACTCGAATCCGCAGGGGCGGACAATTCGAGGCCGCGGGGGTTACTTGGATGGGAAGTAGAAACTTCTGATCCGCCAGTCCTGCGCGGAAGGCAGGCATTTTGCGCCGCCTTCAGACAGCGGCCTCCTTTCCCACCTCCTTTTCCTATTCCCCTCCCCCTCCTCCTCCTCCTCCTCCTCCTCCTCCTCCTCCTCCTCCTCCTCCTCCTCCTCCTCCTCCTCCTCCTCCTCCCCCTCGCTTTTCTATCCCTTGTCACGTTCGCCCTGCTAATTACTGCTCCTCAACAAAAATTCAATTCGAATGCGATTCCCCGTTCTCACCTGATGCGCTCTTGGAAGATTGCCCGCACCCCTCCGCGCATTGCGTTTGATTGCGCACAGGTTTGGCGCGAATCCGCTTTTCATATTTGCTTGTCCAATCGGAACGTGTTCGGCGCTTCCAGCATGTTGTTCCTGCTGTAACGCTGGTCTCATGTTCGAGCTTCCGCTCGGTTCGAATCATCCCGCGTGCTGTGTCTTTAAGCAGAGAATTGTGTGTGAGGTTCAAATATGTTGTTCAATCCGAACTTGTTCGGTTCTTCCGACACGCTGCTCCCGCGGCAGCGTCGGCCTCATTTTTTAAACTCCAACCGCCATCCGTGAGGACGACAGCTGGGCCGTATTCAGGTTGATTCTTATGTCGGGGGCGAAAAAAACTGCATTTCGGCGGCCTCCTGCGGATTTCCTGGATCTGCGCTGGGACTCCCTAGCGGCGCTTCTGGCGCCCCCTCTCCGCAATCCTCCTCCCGCGGCCGCGGGTGATCAAACGAACGCATGAGGACGAATAGAACATCAGTTTCCGCAAGGCGGCAAAATAAAACGCCAGGGGGCAGACGACTAAACAACAGTTTCCGGTGGCTGAAGTCTGTTAGTCAGCCCCACTCATGGATTTAGGGCCCCCTGGGACGGGGGTGTGGGGTGGGGCATTTTCTTAATCGTTTGCCCCCATCACTCCGTCCCCTCGCTTTTCATCATCGCTCCTGCTCTTGTGGGTGTCTTCCGGTTTTGCGCCCAAGACAGATTGGAGCCCGTTAACAAAGAGTATATGCTGTATGTTGACTCCCTCCTCCCTCCATCTCTACCTTCTCATTCCACTTGCTTGTCCGACCAGCGCAGTGGCACATGTTTTACCTTCGCGCCCGCCTGTGTGCGAAGGTGTCGCAAGGTCAGCACACGATGGGCAAGCACACTGCCAAGACAGTCCAGGACCCATCCGCCATTGCACCCCGAGACGGACCCAAGACACCCCCATTCGATTACTAGCCCCATCTGGGTCAAAAGGAACCCTCATACGCTATCGGATCAGGTGCAGCAAAACAGTTGTAGCCAGAGCAGGGCGGAGGAGAAGCCACAAGCACTGAAACGTTCAATGCGCTTGGATCATCAATCAACACAAGATCTGCGCTGGATCGCCGCGAGTGGTTCCCAGGGGGCATTTTGGAAGGCCCCGTGGACCCATCAGACAGCCAAAACCCAAGCGGTCAAACAAAACCCCGAGGCCGCCGCAAGACGCGCCCGTTACGAGATCACGTCTTCGACGACCATCGCGTGCAGCTGACGGATAATGCCTTTCAAGTGGCCCCCACAAAGGCTGACGTGCCTTGCCTTGGGCCCAAACCCGGGGTCCTGTCGGACCATCTGCGTGCCAATTTCTGCAAACATGTGGCCATTGTTGCTCCTCTGCGTGCAGCCCCCAAGCCGTCTGTTCTGCAGCCCGCTGTTTCTGTTCCCCCCTGTCTCTGCTGGTCCTGCTGCGTCCTCAGGTCCGCGCGAATGTCTTGCATCGGCGCTGGACCCCCTTGCCCGGCGCGCGGCAGAGGGGCCCAGCACGCTGGGGCGGAGTTGGAGCGCCCGGGGCTGTTACCCCCGCGCCCCGCCGGGGAGGCCACCCCCGGAGGTGAGCCGTGCGGGTCCCAGGTGGACGACAACGACCGCCGCACTACCGACGTCTACCTGCCCCCGATGGCACAACGGCGCGGCGGCTGCCTGGAACTTTGCCGCCACGTCTGGGATGCGCGCCGATCTCTTCGCCGCTTCGGTCACTTCGTCAAGCGCGCCGACAGAGCGGCACGATGAGTTCAAAAGGCAACACCAGGACACCGCGCGGCAGTGCGCGGCGCAGGGCTTCACCTTCCTCCCAATGTGGTGGAAACCCACGGCGGTGGGTGGGCCGCGAGGTATGCAAGGCTTTCGGGGTCCTGGCCATGCGGGTGGCCGACGCCACGGGGGAGGACGTCTTTTTGGTAGCGGACCAACACGCCCAGCGACTCTCGATCCCCCTGCAAAAGGAGAACGCGCGGGCGGTGTTGCGGCGCCTCCAGACGCAGTCTGGAAGGGCGGGGGTGGCCAAGGCCCGTTTGGCCGCGGCCACGGCGACCTCTGCGGCGGACGCCGTGTGAGGCTTTCCTGGCGCTGCTTAGCGCTCCCCGCCCACCCCCCTCTCATCCTTGCTGGGCAGCACGACCGCCCCCCACCCCACCCCACCCCCCCGCGCCCCTCCGCTGGCCGTCTCTTCCTCGGCGGGGCGGCGGATGGACCCCGCTAAGGGCAATCCCCACCAAGCCGCACCGTGCTGGGAGCGGCCTGGCACCCCACAGCGGTCCCGACGCCCTCCCCGAATCCTTCCCCGACGCCCAGCCCAACGCCCTGCCATTCGCCCTGCCCGCGTCCAGCACGACGAACCCGACGACGAACCCGGCCACCGCCACCCACTCCAGCACTAGTGTCGCCGACGTAGTGGCCGTAGCCTCGTCGCGGGTGGCCCTTCTCCTGGCCCCTGTTCTGGCCCGTTTGCTTGCGCTTGCTCCCGTCTCCCTCCTCGTCTCCCGTCCCTCCTCTCCCTCGCCTTCTCCTCCCTTGCTCCCTGCTTGCTGTCCCCTCTGTCTCTTTCTGCCTTCCCGCCCACCTGCTTCGTCCCGCTGGCCCTGGCCTCCCGCCTGTGCGTTTGCTTTCGTCTGCTTGCTTCTCGTTCCCTTTCTCCCTCTCCGTCGCCGCGCAGCACAGACTGCTGGGAGCTGGCGGCGCCGGACAAGGCGCTTCCGACAGTCATGTTTTCACGGCCCTCGCCCTGCCGCGGCCAGGCTGTTTAGAGCATGTGGCCGAGGTTTCACTACCGATGGTGCAACGGAGTGGGTATCTGCACGAGGACGTGGGAAGAAACGCTGGGAGCCGACGCGCTCCTGCCGGCGGGAAGCGCGAGAATACCCCCTGGGCGCGAGCGGCGCGAGAGAGGGGTCGCCATGGGGGAAACGGGCCCTGCGGGAACCGGGTCCCGAAGTGTTCCACCGTTCTCTTTCGGGCTCTCGGGGCCCTCCCCAGGCCCTGGGACTGCCCGAGAACGCATCCGGATGAGGATCTCGTCCAGGGAGGAGGCCCCACGGCCGCAGGACTCGTTTCCCTCGGGACCCGTTTCCCCCCACGCTGAGGGGGGAGGAGGACAGGGGGCGAGGGCAGAAGGCCTGAGACGAAGCCAGGAAGAGGGCAGCATCGGGTAAGGATCCATCGAGAGACTCTGAGATCCGGCGGCTCTGGAGGATGTCTCGGACGCCGTGCAAGACGGAGCCAGGACGAGGATACATCGGGTGAGGAGAAGTCCAGAATCTCTGTGACCCGGCGGCTCTGGAGGATGTCTCGCGCGCCGCGGCCCTCTCGGAGCGTTCCGGGGAACGCTTTTAGAGCGCTCTCAAAGGGGTTTATCCTCGTCCCAGCACCGTCTGAGGAGAGCCCCCCGAAATGGAAACCGCGGGTATATACACACTCCAAGGTATCTGGGCCCTGTCCCATGGGGCTTCGCAGACAGGTGCTGAACAATATCTGGACACTGTGTTTCGACCGCCATTTGCCACTAAGCGGTGGACAAAACATACGACAGTGTAGTGGACATATTCCTGGCCCCGACAAAATACATCCCCGAACAACTGTGTGGGGACAGCCCCGACGATGACCTTACCCGGTTGACCTCCCAGTCTCCGCCCAGCGACCTCAGCTCGTCCGGCTTGAACTCGCAGTAGCTGTTTTTCACGTAGCCCAGGACAGGGTCGAATGCTGGCATGCGGTGCCTCGCACCCTCTCACTCCCTACGGCGGCAGTGGTGCCAAGGCCTTCAATGAGGATCACTCTATCGATGTGCCGATAACTGCTTCCAGTCCCAGCATGGTTAAATGCATGAGAACTTGTCGTGCACCCGTCCTTCCGTCACGTTGTCCTTGCAACTCTCCGTGTGATGCAAGTTGTGCAGTTAATCAAGCAATGAGCCTGCACGCCAAAAGGCATCGTTGCACCTCTTTAAATCGTGACACTGGGTCGCGTAAGCGTTCTGTACATTTGTTTCGTGCCCGACCAGGCCTGTTGACCGTACTTGACCATGCTGACGGTCCGCAATCACTCTGCCAACTTTACTCCACACTTCCACGTCCTAATGTCGTAACCACTGACTCCCTGCCACTGACCCCTCGCAGTCCTTGGAATCGGAATGAATCTAAATAGCTGCGGGCAAGAATACAAGAAATTGACCACTTGGGGCAGCAAGAACAAGCACATCATCTTGCTGAAATGCCTGCCCAGAGCGCACGCGAATTTTGCGGGCTACGTGATCGGCAGATCCGTAGTCATCCTGTCAGTCCTCCTCCTCTAGTTGCACCACCTCGTCGTCGTCTCTCTCGTCTTCGTCCTTCTCCTTCGCCTCCCTCTCCTCATCCCGCCTCCTCCTCCTCCTCCTCCTCCTCCTCCTCCTCCGCCTCTCTCCTTCCCCAATTATGTTCTTCTGCAATCGCCCCCTGCTCACTAAAAACGCTTTCCGCCCTGAGCCACATGCTTCATGTCCAGGGGGAAAGCTGCCACAACAGGATAATCTAACTCACAGACCCCATAGATCCTACCGCGAGCGAGGTCCCGCATGCTACGCCCGCGCTTCACGTTATGAATGAGCACTACTAAACTCACTGCACGAAAGGAGATGCCAGGGATGCACAGAACGAAAGTCACTCGCCCGTTGGAGATGTACATCGTGAGATCAAGCACTCGACGCACACAGATCGAGACCGAATCGTCTATATCTTCTGCTCGAGGGCACGGGAAGGATATTTGTGCGAAGCGGGTGGGGTCCTGGAAAAGAGCCTGTACCAGGATCCGGGGACATCCTTCAGGACCCTTTCCGGGACATCTCACATCCTTATGGGCCTCTGGGCTCCGCCGACAGGCTCCCTGGAAGTCTTCAGCAATCCCAGAGGAAGAGCCCAGGCCTGCCAGAAGGTGTCAAGCCGAGCGATTGCGAACATACAGATTCTGCAATGCTTTTGCCCTCCAACTCCGATCTTCCGTCGGAGGGCGCTCGGGGGGGAACTGGGAAGCCCTCTCAAGGCCTACCAGCAGCACGGGCCGGTGGCGCCAAGTCAGGCACATGAGAGTTCAGAGGTAATCCCATGACGCCTGCAGCTGGGCCCAAGCAAAGATCGAGACTCTATGTTGTAAGTGCTGGTTGCACATGTTGGGCCTCCAAAGCCTCCGAGGTCTCCAGAGACCTCCAGACCCAGGAGGGAGGACAGAGGAAATGTAAGGGGAGAGGGGGGAGGTTGCTGGGACCCGCTTCGGTTGAAAAGAAGAACCAGCAGGAGGAAGGATGCGGCGGGTGGGAGCGAGGAAGACGAGGAGCAGCAGCAGGGGGATCAGGATAAGGAAAGGGACAGCACCAAGGAAAGGAGGAAGAGCAACCCTGAAAAGGGAAAAGAGAGAAGAAATAATGAATGAAGAAGAAGAAGAGGGAGGAGGGAGGAAGACAGAAGAGAGTGAGGATGGAAGCGATGGGGAGAGGGAGGAATGAGGATAGAAGAAGGATGCATAATATAGAGCCTCTGGGATAGCGGGATGCCCACTCCACACGGGAAGCCACACGTGGTGTGGTGACAACCGCTCGGAATCCAACCCCTCGAAGGGAACTGCAAAGGAACCGTCGGGATGAGTTGGGAGGGGCCCTGGGAGAGCGGAAGACTCCAATTACGCATTCACATGGATCCCAGTAGCCACTCGAATTCCAAGCGTGAGGCGGGAGCCCTCAGGGCCCCTTCCAGGAAGGATCCAGGGTCCCTGACACTCAACGCGTGCAACCCTCAGGCAGGAGCCCCTGACTACCTACCAGACCACCCCAACCCAACCCGAAGACCCGAATTTGACCCGAATTTCGGGTTGGGGGGGGGTACGGATACCATGTGTTTTTTCAACGTTCCCCGACCCCCCCCCCCACTGGAAATCGAGGATAAATTTGGGCCTTCGGGTTGGGTTGGGGTGGTTTGGTGGGTGGTGAGCCCCTGGAGCCCGCCAGGGGAGAGCTGGACGCGCGAGAGAAGAGGCCCTCCAGGCCCTGGGCTGGAGGCCCCGATGCCCGCTGGAATTCCAGCGGGAGCTGGCTGCGCGAGCAGCCGCTATGATTGGAGTTCCGCTGGGACGAGGCTGGCGGTGAGTGCGCAGGGGAGTGCGAGTTTAGCAGTGATGACGAGGAAGAGTGAGCGGGGTGCGAGCGTGGCCGAGGATGACAGTACAGATGACGAGGGGTGAGTGCCTCAGTGAGAAGGACAGATATTGAGAGTTGACAATGAGAGTGCTGAAGACAGAGTGCTGCAGGTGGAGGCAGATGAGACTGGCGTAGATGAGGACGGCTGGGGGCGATGAGGACGTGAGCGATGATGAGGGTGGCAATGAGAGTGTTGATGTCGACGATGTTGCGGATGTGTCCTGCGTTGAGTATGCGCGACATGGGGCTGGAGAACGCAGGAACCTCACTTGAGAATTGTGGGAACACGCAGAAAAAAAAACACTGGCCGAGGGACGGGCACGAGCAGACAAAACATGATGTGGGCGGACGGGGGCTGGAAGGCGGGGAGAGGGAAGGAGATGGGGGAGGGGGGGAGAAGGGGTGAAGTGGAGAAGTACAGCCATGGCTCTGCCAGAAGGAACGCCAACTACAGAACGAACGGGCTTTCAGGGCAACGTCGGACCTGGAGTACGAATAGGTTTCCCGACCTGGACCCGAACACCCGTGCCCCTCCTGACCCTAAAGTGGTCCTCGTGTCCACGGTCTGACTATAAGGGGGGAGGATGGATGGGGACGGGCGTCAAGAGAGTGAAGGAAAGAGGTGGGGCATAGGCAAGCGGCAACGATCTGCAAAACTGCCAACAAACACAACAGGTGACTGCATTGTAATGTCCGGGTTCCCCTTGCGCACCCAACAATACAGATGACCGCGAAAGTCATGCCAGCGAAGTAGCAATACTGAGTCGGGTGCAATGGGAAGTATACACCAGACATCGCAAGGTAAATCCCACGAGTGGCTGGTATACGAATTCCATTTAGGCAGAACCCATCCACAATGAACTGAGACCCACAGCATCTGTCTGCACTATCAAAGAACGCAACTGATCCTGTCTGCACAATTCGAAAGAAGGCTACCGCATTTGCAAGCTGCGTCACCCGACTACAAAGAAGAGGGAGCTGGACAGCGAGAGAAACAGAGAGAGAAATTACAGAAGTGTTTAGAGAAAGGACTTGAAAATAAAGACAGAGAGAGGCTGGCTGGCAAAAGACGGCAAATACTTATCCGAAAAAGGAACCGACAAATGGCTAAGCAACATCCCGTGCGACCAGCGGTGGGGGAGGTGGAGATCGGACGTCGCGGGCCCTGGCAAACTCCCACGCTGGACAGGTCCTCCTCGCCGTCCACCTCCTCCGCCCAACCTCTTGCCCTCCCCCTCCCCCTCCTCCTGCTGCCTCCTTCCACGCCCTCCTCATCCTGCCCCTCCCCCTCCCCCTCCCGCAGTCTCTCCCAAGGGGTGGCGGGCAAGGGGCGCGGCGCCCAGGTGGGGGAAAGCCGCCCGCGAACCACCGAGAAAGCGGCGCACTCTCCCTATGTGCCTTATCGCGCGCTCCCAGGCCCCTCCAAGACAGCAGAGGGAACGAAAGGGCGAGGAGCGGACCAGGGCTCGAACTAAACAGTGTCTTGCGTCTTCGTGTTGCCTTCGTTGTGCCTCGTTCTGTCCTCCTTCTGCCGCTGCTGCCAGACGAAATCAAGACGATGACGGTCCACAAACTCGCCGAAACCCCGTTCAGCTCGAGCCCTTGAGCGGACGAGGGGATTTGGCCGCGCGCACAAGGGGGTAGGGGGAAGGCGACCTAGAATGAGGCTTGGGCAAAGCTCAATGAGGGGCCATAGATAGAGGGGGGAAGAAAGGTGCTCTGTTTCGGGCCCGAAGGGCCCCCTTCGGGGGCCTTCAAAGGCCCCTTTTCGACAGACCTCGCTGGTAGGCTACACAAAAACCAACCATCCCAACAGTCCGACAGGCCTACCACGAAATGTTCAGTTTTCGTAGAACAAGAAGAGATGTTCAGAGAGCGAAGACAATGTCTTCATAATGTAAAGCCGATCTGTTAAGCGAAGACGGTCTCAGCCAGAAATGAGTTCTAATAACATTTCGTGTAAACCACAAAGGGTTATCATAGCATGCTTTGGTGGGCCTATAGGCAAACCAGGACGATTCGCCACTGCCTGAGCAGGGGGAACGCATCCTAGAAAGAGGCTGCTTCTTAGAAGGTGCCGCCCCTGCATCCATAGATGAGGCCAGCACCTTCTCAGAGGCAAGATGCTTTTAAGGAGAAGCGTCCCCCCCTCCCCCTACCCCACTCTACGCGTGACTGACGGCGGAGGGCTCTTGCACCCCCCCCTGCGTCGCGTGGAGTGGCCGTGTCCCCGACGAAGTAGCGCGCCGGCCACCTCCCCGCCCTCGCGCCCACGGCCGCCCGGGCGCTCCGCCCGGCCACCTCCTGGCCCACCCGAATCCGGCATCTCCTCCTCGGAGGCGGAGAAGTCGGGCTGAGGAGGAGGAGGAGACCCTGGAATGAGGGAGAACGAAGAGGAGGAGGAGGAGGAGGAGGAGGAGGAGGAGGAAGTCGGGAGGAGGAGTAGGAGGAGGAGGGGGAGGAGGAGGAGGAGAAAAAGTCGGGCGGAGAAGGAGGCAGAAGGAGCAGGAGGAGGAGAAGGAGGAGGCGGAGAAGCATAAGAAGTCGGACAGAGGAGGAGCAGAAGAGGTCCGAAAAAGGCCAGGAGGTGGAGGCTCAGCCTCCTGGCCCACTCCGGACCTCTGCCGGGAGCCCCCGCGGGCCTTCGAGCCCGGAGGCGGTGAGGGGGGGCACCGGGAGGCCGAGGACGACGCGACCCCGGGCGGCGCCCGAAGCCGCGCCGGGCCCCCCAGGAGGCCCGCAGCGAGTCGACGCCAGCGCTAATTACAGTCATCGTGCTACCACTCATCGTGCTAATTACTAGGGCTCCCAACTTCGCGCTTCGCGCTCCGCGAAGCGCGAAGCGCGAATAACTTCGCGCTCTCGCGCCGCCCCCCAAGGGGGAGAAGAGGAGGACGAGGAGGAGGGGGAGAAGGAACGAGGACCGCGAAGCGCGAATAACTTCGCGCCCTCGGGGGAGCCCTTGGAGCAGGGAGCGAATGGGGGCGCCTCCCTGCCACGGCGGGCCTCGGCCACGGAGAGGCTCCCCGAATCCCAGATCCGGGGAGCTGCCGGAGAGGACCATGGTGCCCCGCCCGAGCCCGGAGGGGCCCGTGCGTCAGCGTCGGGGCTGCACGCCGAGTGATTCTCAAGGGCTCCTAAGTTCGCGCTTCGCGCTGCGCGAAGCGCGAAGCGCGAATAACTTCGCGCTCTCGCGCCGCCCCCCAAGGGGGAGAAGAGGAGGACGGGGAGGAGGGGGAGGAGAAACGAGGACCGCGAAGCGCGAAGCGCGAATAACTTCGCGCCCTCGAGGGAGCCCTTGGTGTGTCAGCGTCGGGGCTGCACGCCGAGTGGTGGCCCGATCAGATGTGGCCCGAGCCTTACCGCGGCGCTGATCCCTTCCAAGGATCTCCCGCCGTGTGTTCTTAGGGGGAAAACAAACCTACCTCGCTTTTGACCACCCTCGCTTCCAAGAGATACCAAACGATGCCAAACTGCAGCCTGTACTGGTCAGGCCGCTTGACGAGGAGGCGCATGGTATGGCTTGGTTTTGCCTGGAAGCGAAAGCGGGGTAGGTAATTCACGCTCTGAGTTTTTGTTTCAGTACCAGCGCTGTTCCTCGAGCCCCATGACGGGGGCGACGCCACGAAGAAAAACGTGACATCGGATACACTTCGGTGACAACTCAGGGGAGCCTCCCGTACCGTCTTGTTGGCCCTTGCGAATCGACGCTCACCGAAGATACATCGGCGCTCATCGACCATAGTTCAGCGCTATCTCGACGCTGATGCGCTCCCTGAGGACGAAATTACGAGGGTGCACAAGGCTCCTATGATTTGTCATCGGGCAATACGGGGAAGTACGAAGTCAGGCCGGAAGGGGTAGCATGTGTGGAAAGTGCCGTCTTTGCCTGTGTGAACGCCCGGCACCCCGGCGTCCCCACGACGCGTTCAGGCTTCACCGACAGCTGCCCTTGATGAGCACCAACTCACCCTCCGCTCACACGTGCTTGTCATAACCATCCAGATTAACCAAGCAGGATCTTCACTGGCGCGACGCACTCGTACGGCGTCATCTTAGCAGTCGGCAGTCGTTGGCAAACAATGAGGTCGAGGATCACCATCGCCCTGCAAATCATTAGCTGTCGCTCGCCATTGTTTGTATATTCGACACAGCCCTACATAACAGAACAACACTTACCACGTCATAAAGCACAATCGCACAGTGGTCTCATATATTGTCTTAGGCCCCAAGCCTCAACCTCACCCCCGCGCCTTGTTCGAAACATGGGGCTCTGGAACTATCGCTCCCAACATCCACCTGTTAGGTCCGGGAGGAGGGGGGCAAAACGTGCCTCCCGTAATTAGTCCGAACGCAGGCGCCCCCGGGTCCGAACGCAGGAACACTTGCCGACCTGATTCTTCACGACGCAAAAGGGGCTGGGGTGCCAAATCCACCACGCAACGCGCGAACAAGACTGCAGGAGGAGGACGATGGGAAGGTCAGTGGGGAGGAACCCCGGGAGGAAAAGGAGAAGAGGGGGGAATGTGGAGGAGGGCGAGGGAGCACGAAAAAGAGCATGCTAATCTTTTTGTCTCTGGGGCCAGTGCCGTGTCAGATCAAAATGTAAACGGACGGAGGACGCATCCGCCTAGCACCTTCCAGGCACCAGGCGGCATCGGGCTCGAAACACATCGAAATCACCTGATGAGGCAAACGGAAAGCGAGGGAAGGAGGGGGGGAGCTTGAGCGACAACGACAGCGGATACATATGCAGCCATAATCGATCGGTGCCCTTTTGTGGTCGGCGCACAAAATAACAAGGGCCCCGATGGACAGGGTGCCGTTTTGCAGTCGGCGCGCAAAGTAAAAAGGGCACCGATGGCATGTATCAGCTAACGACAGCGGCCAGTAGTGGCATCAATGAGCAAAGCTGTTCAGAGAACCTGTCATGTTAATCTTTTTGTTCTGGGGCCAGTGCCGCGTGATATCAAAATGCGAACGGAGGGCGCATCTGCCTATTACCTTCCAGGCACCAGGCGGCGACGGGCTCGCAACACTTCGAGGACGCCTGCAAACTGCCGCGAATCGCAAAGTTTCCACTGGCTACGCCGATGAATTCTCATGCCTGCGAATCTAAATCATTGACGCTTTGTTTACAGAATGTCGAATGCAAGGCGCGCGAGTGAGCTTTTTCATCCTCATATTCCAAGGCCACCAGGTTGCAGAACTTCCGTGGGTACGCGTCGGCCAGCTTTGTCTTGAATTCACCTCGAGCCTTCTTGCCCGAGACGCAGACGTGCTACAGCCAGTCATTACACGAGTGCGACCAGTCCACCCATACGCGGCAAGAGGTGGCAACTCAATGAGACACGCAGCGATATTGGTACTCTTTTCCCACGGCGTGCCAAATCGACAATGTCAAACACTGGGCTGGACACCCGGGGCCGCTTGAGTAGACATGGGCGGCAAGAGCCACGCGTAGCTCAGAGCTGGATTCTAGACGGACCACGGCACGAGGCACTGGCAGCCAATGGTGCACAGGGAGATGGACAGCCGAGCGAACAGGTTACCCCACTGGACCTTCTGGGCCTCGGTATCCGGCAGCTGCGGCAGGCCCCGGGGGTGCTCGCCCGAACGCAGTCGAGGCGGCCCATTCGGCTGGTCACGCGCGCGCGAGGAGGTCTCGCACGGGCACCCGCTTCGCGCGCCGATCATCAGGCCCGCCCGAATCAAGAAGACGGCAACGGTCAATGGCCGAGGGGGGGCAAGCGCCGGCCCTGGAGCACGTCTGGGAGTTCCTGCGCCGCCCTGGCCGAAGTTTGCCGCGCGTCGGGCGGCAGCCGGCGCGAGAGCTCGGCCAGGCGCCCCCCGTGCTCGAAGCGGCGGAGGCTCCTCGCCGACCGCCGCCGGCCTCGCCGTTGGATCTCCTCGAGCCGGCGGACCCCCAACGCGAGGTCGACGCTCGCCTGCCGGAAGCGGTGGGCGTCGATTGGGCCCGGCGGCCCCAGGCGCCACGCAGCCGCGGCGGCGTAGAGGGCCTGGCGCAGGCAGCCTGGGGTGATATCGAAGAAAACGGGGCCCCCCCGCTCGCGCCCCAGCTGCGCCAAGGCGTCGGCCAGCGCCTCCTGCCGGGGAATGTCGAGCACAATGGTCTGGTCGAACTCCTGGTTCTTGGAAGGCGTCGGGGTCGCTGCCATCGGCCGCCCGCTGTTGGCGCGCTGCCCCGGCCTCCCCTGGGGGCCCCGGAAGACAGGGGGGGCCGAGGCCGGGCGGGGGCCGGAGGCACGGGCATGCCGTTCCCCCTTGAAGGGGGAACGGCAGGCGCCCGGCCGGGGCCCTCGACCAGGGGGGCTGGAGGCACGGGCATGCCGTTCCCCCTTGCAGGGAGAACGGCAGGCGCCCGGGCCCTCGACCACACGGCCCTCCCGCGCGCCAGCACGCCTGCCGTCGGCGACAGCGGCGGCGAGCTCCTCCCGCAGACCCGCCAGAAGATCGCTCGGCGACCCGCGGCCGCGCGACAGTCCGCTGGTCGGGTTGAGCTTCGACGCGACCCACCCGGCGCGGGGGGCGCGCGCGGCGACCAGCAGCAGATCGCCTAGCCGGCAAGTCACCGGCAGCACGCCGTCGGCAGAGGAGGGCCCTTCGCGGCCGCGAGGGGCGTCGAGATCGAGTCCCCGATTGCGAGGGGCCTCGGGCCCAGGGTAGCCGCGGTGCGGAGCTGGCGCCGAACCCCTATATAGAGGAGGCCCTCCGCCTCGGGGGGCGCCGCCACCTCGAACGCCCGCGGACCTTCCAGGGGCCTCTGAGGAGCTCCAGGGGGGCGTCCCTGAACTTCGCCGAATGCCGAAAGTCCAAACCGTCATGGGCCGGCTCCGCGCGGGGCCCCCGCGCGCCCCATCAGGATCTGCCTGTCGGGCCCCCGCTCGCCCGCGTGCACCCGCGCGGGCGCGGCCGCGGAGGCCCGCGCGCGCGGGGCCGCGCTGCCTCGAGCCGACGTCCAGGCCCGTCTTCTCGCTGAACCTGCAGGCCCCCCTCGAGGAGTTCGACGGGCGGATGAGCGCCCGCACGGCCCCCCGGGCCCCGCGGCGAAGCATCCGCGCCGACGGCCTCGGGGCCGGCGGCGGCGTCTGCTCTGACCCGGATCAGCGGCGCGACGCGGCCCCAGGTGCCCGGCCCCCCGCGCGCAGAGGCCCAGAGAGCCATCGGCCCCCGGGCGGGCCCGCGTCGGGCCAGCGCGCAAGACCTACAGTGGCGTTATACGCATGCCGAGGGCTTCACGCCTACAAAGACCGCTGAAACACAGGCGGCCCAGGAGGGGCCCCGCGCCCGCCCCGAGCGCCAGCCGCGCGACAGAAGCCCCCTTGCAGCGAGACGAGCCTCCCAGACGCGCGTGGAGTCGGGCGGGGAACGCGCCGAAGGCAATCGATCTCCCGCCCCAGCGCGACGGCCGCCCGCCCACGCGAGACCTTTGTATATGCAGCGGAAGGCCTTGGGATTCGAGGGCGGACATTACGCTGGCGAGCCATTCTTGCACGACCTGCTCGCGGGTCGAGATCACGACGCAGTCATCAACGCACTGCGCATGGGGGGGGGGCAGAGGCAAGGAGGGGGGCGTCCATCGGCAAGCCGGGCCGCCGGAGGGGACCCCCCCTCCTCGGCCGCGCGCGCGCGTGCGGGGGGTGATCCACGCATCGGGCGAGACGCGGGCCCCGTCAGAGTGAGCGACCTGGACCCAGGGCGCCCGAACTTTCTGGAGCCCGAAAAAAAGCGCGGACGCGACAGGGAGCCCCATGTGATAAAAAAGCGCGTTGAAGTCAACTTGTCCGATGTAGATATGCTGACCGCTCGCTTAGCTACTACAGACAGTCGAGAACGTTTCCCCCGAGACCAGGCTGACAGGGGCGGGCGGTCGGAAGCGCTGGTTCGACCTCCGGCAATCGACGACAGGCCACTGCCCGCTGCTTCCTTTTCTCACAAAGAAGCAATCACCCATAGGCTTGATTCTCCTTTTATATAATAGAATGTCTATTTTGACCGCTCGGTTTCCTAGAACGGCATGTCGTTAGTTAAATGTTCGGTGAACGCGCTGCGGTTTTAGGTGGGTCCTCTTATATCTGGGGCAAATATATTGCACATGTACTGCGCTGGATTAATGTATTGCATCGCAGTGCAAATGCGCGATGCATTGCGCACGACATGGCAGCAATACATCTGCGCCGGAAAAGCATCGGACGCCCCAAATGTATAGCAGCCCCACAAATGTATTGCTCCGACCACTTGTCGCTGGAGCCCCTTCTTCAGAGCCCCGAATCATCAGGGATAACTCGGGTCAGGGCTAACTCGGGTCTCTTTTCTGGGAATCCAAACCCGAGTTACCCCGGACCCGAGTTACCCCGGATAACTCGGGCGTCCAGAGCCCCGAATCATCAGGGATAACTCGGGTCAGGGCTAACTCGGGTCTCTTTTCTGGGAATCCAAACCCGAGTTACCCCGGACCCGAGTTACCCCGGATAATTCGGGCGCCCAACTTCTGAGTCAACCCGACGAGCCCAGCCCCGCCCCGGCCGCTCCCGGATCGGCTCCGGCAACGGGGGGCCCGGCGCGGGCCGCTGCGGCCCCCAAGGGAACGCCTCGAACACCGGCGCCGGCACGGCCATGCCCGGACGCCGCGACTGGAAGCACCGCCGCGCCTCGAGCTCGGCCGCGGCCCGCCAGTCCGCTGCACCGGCTGGGGTACGGGCCGCAGAGAACCGGCATGTAGGCCCCACTCCAGGAGGCCGCGGCGCAAGAACCGGCGCCCACCGCGCGGCGCTGATGTCAGGCGACGAACCGTCGACCAACCCCCACTGCACGAGGCGATCTGGCGAGACCAGAATCGCATCACTCGGACAAGACACCAGTCGCCCCATCGCAAAGCGCTGTTGCCACAGAGGGGGCCCCCCCCACCGCATACAGGAGGCACCCCACCTGGTCCACGCCGTCCAGGGCGGTTGCAGCAACCATCGGTTGCGTGGTTCACCGCGCTCACCGCGATGCCGAGGACCAGGGCGGCGTTGGTGGTGGCCCAGACCCGCGCCACCGGAGGCTCCGCGGCCACGAGGGCCCTGGCCCCAGCCCGAGCGCCTCTGGGCAGACAGGGGGCGCCCTTGGGCAGTTCGTGCACTGGGGCGCGGCCGGGCACACGCACCAGCAGTCTAGGAACTGCGGGCACGGAGGGGCCACAGGTGCGTGGCTCAGCCAGCTCGAGACCCCATGCGCTAGCTAGGTGACAGCGCTGGCTGCCCACGGAGGGAGCATCGTCCCTCCGGGGAGAAGAGCTTGAGCGACAACGACAGCGGATACAGTTGTTTCCTCCCTTCTTTGAAGGCCAAAAAGTCGTTCGTGTCAGCGTCGGCCTGCCCCGTGTGGTTGGTTGTGGCAGGTCCTGAAGAGGATGGCCAACCACACGCCGAAACGCTGGTGGCGAACTGGACCCGGGGTGCCCGAATAGTTGGGCATACTCAGTCCTAGACCAGATATGAGCACTTGTTTGACTTATGTTGCACTCATTTTGATATGCCTGGCAAATGACGGATACACATGCAGCCATAATATATCGGTGCCCTTTTTGTGTATTTGGCACAGAAAGTAAAAAGGGCACCCATGGACAGATGCCACGAACATCGATACGGTGTCCTTTTGCAGTCAGCGCGCAGAGCAAAAAGGGCACAGATGGCATGTATCAGCTAACGATAGTCGCCAATCGTGATATCAATGAGCAAAAAAGATCAGAGAACATGTCAGGAGAGCTGAAAGATGGAGGAGAGTGGAGGGCATGGGATGGGAAGGCAGGAGCAGGAAGGCATGGGATGAGGGCGGCAAAAGAGTGTCCCCCTCTTCCCGACTGGCACCAGTTCTGCCGCATGAGAGCGAGGCTGACTGCCAGGAAGGGCATGACGAGGAACAGGGACTGCACCTTGTAAGGAGTTCAACATGGCGACAACATGTGCTGCTGTCGAACAGAAGAAACACGGGGATAGGTTCGAGATGTATGTTTAGATGCAGAGGGTATTGTGGCCGATGAATCGCTGACCTCGAGGAAAGGGTCCCGCCACCAAGAACTTGTCATTCGGGAGACATGTCCGCTCCCGCTGTCACAACAGCATGTGCATACGATTCGCTGGGCCATGCTGATGTTCCGATAATCGACTCTCGCCATCAACTTTGATGTACGTACATCCGTCACGTCTCGACCTTGCTGTTCGCACGATGAAGCTGCGTGCTCAACCCATGGGGATAGTTACCCTCATTCCGCATAACCCTGTGTTATGCTCTCAGGGCGTCACGCAGAACTGCATTCGAGCACCTCCTCGGAGACTCGATCCCACAATGAACACTGATTTCCTGTGTGCTACGTACATGTACCCGTCTGAACTCCTGGAACGTAGCTGCAGATGCATCTTGGTGAAACACCTTGCAAGGTACTTCCATTGATCGGCCCGGGAGTGTCGATGCCTCGATACGTCCCATTGCAGTCCACTAAGCTGCATCAAGTTGCGATATACAAATGCCGCCCGCCTGGGTCCACTCTGCTATTGATAACCCAGGCGCCCCAACTGAACTGATGGGGTCAAGCCTCGAACGCACGAACCCGCTCGCCTGCCTTGTCCGTCTGGCGCACTCACATCCATCCGGGTAACCCTCGTGTTAAAGCATGGTACCCTGATCGCCCGACCGATGAGCCGACTCTATGCAAACTCGGGTGACCGCCCTCCGCGAGGGGGTCGCACGTGGTGCTCTCGGTAGTCCGAGAACGACTCGGGGATCCGGTGCAACTGCACTATGTTGAAGATCAACACGGACCTGACAACATTTTCTGGGATGGCGTGGATGGCAATGGCGCAAGGGATAACGGAAAATGCACAAGGAAGGGGAGCAGCAGCAGCAGCAGCAACAACAAAGAAATGGAATACACGCTGGCTGGCCCGTCACGGGAGTCCAAGGTCCATACATCTTCCTATACCTGATATTGTGCTTCCACGGTGCGTGACGCAAGCGCCGTAGTTCGGAGGGAGAAGGTATGATAACGATGGGGATGGTGCAATGAGCCGAGAGGCGATCCCAGCCGAGCAAAATGCAAATCACGTCCGTCTAACAATCACAACCAAAATCCCAGAGAGATGGGGAGACGGATCAACGCATCAGAAAGATGCCAAAGTAGGTGAACCAAGACGAATTGTGCAGTTCAAAATGTACGAAAGACTGGATGCAACAAGAGAGGCGAACACACACAATCAGCAAGTAGCAGACGCGGACATGAAGTGAAATGTGCGCACATCTGGCGTGATACAACCTTGCGTTGGCCATGCTTTTCCCATCTGGGACCTCCATTCTAGGTTTTCTAATCCTACGAATGCCTTGCGAACCAAGGACAATGACACCGCGGTCTCGTGCACGCATACACCCGTGATGCCGAGAGTGATGCGGGGGTAAGCGTGAGCAAAGACGTAGGAATTGTTTGGTCCAGCGAGGGACACTCCAATCACCACTGACTGGCCGACTTCCAAGCCATTGACGCCAGCGTAAATGTTGATCGCGTGTGTGGAAAAGTTGGCCAGCACGAGCAGGAACGCATAGAAAAATATACCTGTCAAGGGGCAATCAGTGAAGGATTGGCACTGGCACGGCCTAACTTTTTTTTGCTACCAGACTCCAGGCGGACGACACCAGGCTCACACACTACTCAGTCCAATGGCAGCCTCACCGTGCCCGTGAGGTGGATCCCGAAGTCCTGCCCTTTGTGGGATAGGCCGCACCCGGGGCAAACATCTACGCTGATAGCCTCACAGGCCAGGGGGGCTCAAACGTGTACCTAGGGCTCCCAACTTCGCGCTTCGCGCTCCGCGAAGCGCGAGGCGCGAATAACTTCGCGCTCTCGCGCCGCCCCCCCAAAGGGAGAAGAGGAGGACGAGGAGGAGGGGGAGAAGGAACGAAGACCGCGAAGCGCGAATAACTTCGCGCCCTCGAGGGAGCCCTTGATGAAGATTACCCTACAGGGTCTATGCAATGAGACCCTGATTGGAGGAACTGGCCACGGTGCGAGGCCCGCGTGCAGAGATGGGAACACTCGACACGTGCGTCCATCCTCTGCCCCTCCCTTTCTTTCTGCGTCTCTTCCCCCCTCCCTTCCTTCCTTCTTCTCTCTAACTCTCTCTCTCTCTCTCTCTACCTCGAATCTCTCAACATCATCTCACCGCCGTACTCCTCCTCCTCCTCCTCCGCCTCCGCCTCCGCCTCCGCCGCCGCCTCCTCCTCCTCCTCCTCCTCCTCTTCCTCTCCCCGATATTATCCACCTAACCGGCCCCAGACCTTTCCTGGAGTGCGTTCTGACAATGATGTCCAGGCCGATCATGCCATGGCGACAAGGGTCAAGGCGCGGGTCCTGAAACGAAGCCATCAACTCAGGGGGCACGCCATTATCCTGTTAAACTAAACTGTACATTAATGAACTCGTGTGTGAAAACGATACGCGGCGCCAGCGCTGCACAGAAGCAGAGTTAAAGCAAAGGTCGCAGAAAGACTGAGAAAATATGAAGAACAGCAGAACGCAGTAAGGATATCAAAACAGCCCTCAAACAACAGAGGGTATATGCAGACCAGCATCGGGGATACAGCAGCTGATATATGTGTATATATACACACAAGACTGCAGTGGCGCTTCGCGCCATGCACCTTGGTCCTGGAAGTGTGGTACGCAAGCGAAATTGCAGGAAGGTCTAGCCGACAATTTAGCGATAACTCCTTGTTGCCTTTTCCGGCATCGCCGCTATAATAATGTGATTCGTTATCCTTCCTCCATGCTTCTTTTCCTCATTTTCGCCATACCCTGCGCATTCTCCCCATCCTCCTCAGCTCTTTATTGCGGAGGCTCCTCCTTGGAGAGCCTCTGGGGGCCTCACAAAAGTTGTTTCAGGCTTTCTTAATGCTTTCAGGAGACCTCCTGGCTGTATTCTGGGGGCCTCTGGGGGCTTCCTCGGGCCACCCTGCCCCTCCAATCGCGGTCTCCCTGAACGACCGGGTCACGATTTGGAATGCTTCGGAGGGTGTCTAGGGGCCATCTTGGGCCGCCATGGGACTCCCTGAGGGCCATCTTGGACCCGTGTTGTGCCGTTTTGGGGCTCTCTTGGACTGCCTGGAAGCCCTTTCGGATGTTTGTGGGGCGATTTTGGAGACTCCCAGGCGGCTTCGGACGCCCAGAAGACCGCCGTCTTGGAGCGTCGGGAAGCCGAAAAGAGGAGAACCCCAAAATTCACCAAAAACCAACAGAAAACTAATGAGTTTTGCCTCTTGGGGCCTTTGGGAGTGCTATTGGAGGCCTCTTTGGGGCCGTCCTGGAGGCCTCTTGGACCATCTTGAGGTCACGTTGGTCACTCTTGGAGCGCTCTTGTGCTGTCTTGGGGGTCTCTGGGACGTCTCCGATGACCCCCCTGATCGCCCCAGGTGTGCTGCGAAGGCTTGTCAAAACGCCCTGCAAGGCCCGGGGGGCCGCTTCGAGGCCCGCCCGTCCGGAGGGTTCCAAAGCCCCAGATCCCGGGAGTCCGGTTTTTTTTTGGGGGGGGTGTGACGGGTTTTCCCCCCGCCCGGGCTTATAAAAACATAGGAAGAGGAATATATACAAGACTGCAGTGGCGCTTCGCGCCATGCACCTTGGTCCTTGAAGTGTGGTATGCAGGCGGAATTGCAGGAAGGTCTAGCCGACAATTTAGCGATAACTCCTTGTTGCCTTTTCCGGCATCGCCGCTATAATAATGTGATTCGTTATCCTTCCTCCATGCTTCTTTTCCTCATTTTCGCCATACCCTGCGCATTCTCCCCATCCTCCTCAGCTCTTTATTGCGGAGGCTCCTCCTTGGAGACCCTCTGGGGCCCTCACAAAAATTGGTTCAGGCTTTCTCAATGCTTTCAGGAGGCCTCCTGGGTGTATTCTGGGGGCCTCTGGGGGCCTTCCTCGGGCCACCCTGCCTCCAACCGCGGTCTCCCTGAACGACCGGGTCACGATTTGGAATGCTTCGGAGGGTGTCTTGGGGCCATCTCTTGGGCCGCCATGGGGCTCTCTGAGGGCCATCTTGGACCCGTGTTGTGCCGTTTTGGGGCTCTCTTGGACTGCCTGGAAGCCCTTTCGGATGTTTGTGGGGCGATTTTGGAGCCTCCCAGGCGGCTTCGGACGCCCAGAAGACCGCCGTCTTGGAGCGTCGGGAAGCCGAAAAGAGGAGAACCCCAAAATTCACCAAAAACCAACAGAAAACTAATGAGTTTTGCCTCTTGGGGCCTTCTTGGGAGTGCTATTGGAGGCCTCTTTGGGGCCGTCCTGGAGGCCTCTTGGGCCATCTTGAGGTCACGTCGGTCACTCTTGGAGTGCTCTTGTGCTGTCTTGGGGGTCTCTGGGACGTCTCCGATGACCCCCCTGATCGCCCCAGGTGTGCTGCGAAGGCTTGCCAAAACGCCCTGCGAGGGCCGTGTGGCCGCTTCGAGGCCCGTCCGGAGGGTTCCAAAGCCCCAGATCCCGGGAGTCCAGTTTTGGGGGGAGGGGCGGGGACGGTTTTTCCCCCCGCCCGGGCTTATAAACATGTAGGAAGAGGAATCTGTACACACACACACATATATATATATATATATATATATACGTATATAGATAAGCACATACTTACACATATACAAATACGCCGACCCTGTCGGCGTGTGAAGACGCTATTCTGGTCGACTCGGCGTCGTCATCGTCGCCGTCGCGTTTGACCCGCCGTTCCCCCCCCCCTTTCACTGGGCCCTTCTCCGCCTCCTCCTCCTCCGCCTCCTCCTCCTCCTCCTCCTCAAGCGAGCCAGCGAAAGCGAAACCAAAACGAAATTGAGAAACGTCGTAATTAGTCGAAAGGACGCCCCTTTGATCACGTTTCCCCCCGTGGGGGAGGGTGAGGGGGGGGGTCCTGGGGGGGGGGGTCTGGGTCAGAATACCATCCTCCCTGGCGATCCTGCGGCCCAAAAGGGCCCCAAGACAGCTCAAGAGGCCCCTAAGACCGTACAAGAGGGCCCCGAGTCGCCGAACACTCGGCCCAAGACGTCAGAGAAGGCCTCGTGCCATCCAAAGTGGCTTTCAAGACGCTCGAAGGGGCCTCCAAGAGCACACCGAGAGGGCCCCAACAGACAACATTGAATGATTTTCTCTAGGGTGTTTGAACTATTCTAGCGTTCTCGCCTTTTCGGCTTCCTGACGCCCCACGACGGCCCAAAATGATACCACGATCGGCACAATATGCTCCCAAGAGGTTTCGAACACGGCCTCAAAACGACCCAAGAGAGCCTCAAAACGGCCCCACTGGAGGCCTCCCAGGCCCAAGAGGCCATCAGAACGGCTCCAAGAGGGTAACCGAACGGCTCCAAGAGGCTCCAAGACGGCCATCAACACGGCCATCACACAGGAACCCGAAAAAGCATTTCGAGCCTTCGGCTCCAAGAAGCTCCCAAGAGGTCCAAAGAGGCCCCCAAGAGTCCCCCAAAAAGCTCGAAGGGACCCGCAAGAGGCTCCCAAGAGGCCTCCAATATGCCCCCAAGAGGCCCTAAAACTGCCCCCCAGAGGCCTACGAGCGCGCTCCGAAAGAGGCCTCACGAAACATCACTGAGGACTTGCTCCGCGTCGGCGTCGTCGTCGCCGCCGACGCCGCCGTCGCGGTCGTCGTCTCCCTTCAGCCTCGGCGGCACCGGCCGTAAGGCCTTCCCAGCACAGATATGCATGTGCACGATATATATATATACACACATATATATAGAGAGAGAGAGAGAAAACAACAAATCTACCGATCCGGCGTGTGAGTTTAGGAAGTCTGAGCTGAAGCTCTGCTTCAGCATGAGCTTTAGCTCTGCTTGGGAGGGGGGGAGGGGGGGGGGGACGGAACTGACTGACGAATTCAGTGCTTGGCACCTCCCCCTCCCTGACAGCCCCCAGGAGAGAGGGGGGGGAACAGGAGAGAGGGGGGGGGGGCAAGCTAGGTGCGCTCGCGTCATACCTGACATCCTACCCCTCCCTCCCATCCCTTACCATGGCGCAGATCCCCTCTCTACTCGCTCAGTCGGATGTCGAGCAGGGCAATGATGGGTACGCGATGCATTGTAGAGCACGGCATGGCATGGCGTAGAGGAGCACCGCAAAGCGAAGCATCAACCTAGCATTGCACGGCATGGCACGGGAAATGACGCCAGCGCTGCAGCGGGAGCAGGAGTCGAAACGAGCGGAAGCGCGGAAATGAGGCCAGCGCTGCAGCGGCAGCACGATTCGGAACGAGCGGAAGCACGGAAATGAGGCCAGCGCTGCAGCGGGAGCACGATTCGGAACGAGCGGGGCCCGAAAATGAGGCCGGCGCCTCAGCGAGAACAGCATTTTGAAAAAAATGCAAGCGAAAACCCAACTCCAGGGAAACCTGTAAAAAAACAGTACGCGGGGGGTGGTCGGACACTCCCAGGCCGTCATCAGGGGAAGAGGGAGAGTAGTATTCATATTGAGTAATTGAAGAGGGGGAAGGGGTGGACAGAGAGAGGGGGGGGGGGGACAGGAGAGAGGAGAGGAGGGGGAGGACAGGAGAGATAGGGGGGGGGGGACAGGAGAGAGGGGGGGGGGACAGGAGAGAGGGGGGGGGGACAGGGGAGAAGGGGGGGGGGGGGGGGGAGGGGGGGGGGAAAGGGGGGGGGACAGGAGAGAGGAGGGGGGGTGGGGGGGGGGCCGGGATCATCACCATCTCCATCACCATCACCATCACCATCACATCACATCATCATCATCATCATCATCATCATCATCATCATCATCATCATCATCATCATCATCATCATCATCATCATCATCATCATCATCATCATCCTCATCCTCATCCTCATCCTCATCCTCATCATCATCCTCATCTAATCATCATCAGCATCACCATCACCATCGTCACATCACCATCATCATCATCACCATCATCATCCTCCTCATCCTCATCCTCATCCCATCCAAATCCTCATCCTCATCCTCATCCTCATCTCATCCTCATCCTCAGCATCATCATCAGCAGCAGCAGCAGCATCAGCATCAGCATCAGCATCAGCATCAGCATCAGCATCAGCATCACATCAACATCAGCATCAACACATCATCATCATCATCATCATCATCATCATCATCAGCATCATCATCATCATCATCATCATCATCATCATCATCATCATCATCATCATCATCATCATCATCATCATCATCATCCGGAGCGCCACGGATCGGCGGCACTGGCTGGAGGCCACTACAATAAACAAAACAAATGACGAAGAGAGAGAGAGAGAGAGAGAGAAAGAGAGAGAGAGAGAGGGAGGGAATGCAGAGAGAGAGAGAGAGCACACACAATAACAGAGAGGAAGAATGAGGCAGATATAGGGACAGATACGTGTGTATAAAGATATATATATATATATATAAAGGAAGACAGATCGAGAGGGAGAGAGAGCGATAGAAGGGAGGGCGAAAGAGAGAGGGAGCGAGAGAAGGGAGAGAGAGAGAGAGAGAGACACAGAATGAGGGAGATACAACAAAACTAACTGACGTGAAGCACCCCCAAGCTAACCCACGCCCTGCTGCTGCATGGAATTATTCCCAACCATCCGATGGTGTTGGGTCCTCGGTTTGAAGGAACAGCGCCCGCGTTCCGCACTCTCCTCCTCCTCGTCCTCCTCCTCCTCCTTCTCCTCCTCCTCCTCACTCCTCCTCACTCCTCCTCCCTCTCTTCCTTCCTCGCATCCCTTACACGCTTCGTGGTCCCATAGAGAGCTCCACCGAGTGTCTCCGCGGCGGAGCCCGCATGCGGTCCCGCCACCCATTTCGACGAACCACTCAAACGCACACCCCTCACACGCTTCGAGGTCCTATAAGGATCTCCACCGAAGGTCCTGGTGGTGCAGCCCGCATGCAGTCCCGCCTGCCATGTCCACAAACCCCTCACACGCTTCGTGGTCCCATAGGGGCCCCCCCGACAGTCCCAACGGTGCAGCGCGTATGCGGTCCCGCCGCCCATGTCGATACACCCCTCACACGTTTCGTGGCCCCATATGGAGCTCCGCCGATGGTCCCAGTGGCGCAGCCCGCATGTGTCCGCCCTGTTCATTTCGGCACACCCCTCACGCGTCTTGTGGCCCCGTGGGGAGCTCCACCGAAGGTCCTCATGGCACAATTCGCAGGTGGTCCCGCGATCAATTTCGGCACACCCCTCATACGTTTCGCCCCATAGGGAGCTCCACCGAAGTTCGCGGTGGCGCAGTTCGCATGCGGTCCCACCATCCATTTCGACACATCCTCGCAGGCTTCGCGGCACCATAGGAAGCTCCACCGAAGGTCGCGGTGGCGCAGTTCGCATGCGGTCCCGCCACCCATTTCGGTACACCCATCACACGTTTCGTGGCCCCATGAGGGGAGCTCCCCGGAAGGTCCCAACGGCGCAGTTCGCATGCGGTTCCGCCACTCATTTCGACACACCCCTCATCGAAGATCCAACTGGCGCAATTCGCTGGCGGTCCCGCCACTCATTTCGGCACATCCCTCACACGTTTCGCGGGCCCACGGGGAGCTCCACCGAAAGTCCCAATGGTGCAATTCGCATGCGTTCCCGCCACCCATTTCGACACACGCGTGCACGCTTCGTGGCCACATGGGGAGCTCCACCGATGGTTCACGTGGGCAGCCCGCGTGCGTCCAGCTATTCATTTCGATACGCTTCGTGGCCCCGTAGGGAGCTCCACCGAACCACCGAAGGTCCCAGCTGGCAACGCGCATGCGTCCCCACCACCCATGCCAGCCTACCCCATCGCACGTTCTGTGGTCCCATGGGGAGCTCCACCGAAGGTCATTCGTGGCCCCATAGGGAGCTCCGAAGAAAGCCCAAACGGCGCAGCCCGCATACGTCCCCGACACATCTTTCGGCACACCTCTCACAAGTTTCGTGGCCCCGTAAGGAGCTCCACCGAAAGCCCCACTGCCACCGCCCGCATTCGCCCCCGCCACCAATGTCGGCACACCCATCACAGGTTACGTGGTCCCATGGGTGGCTCCATCGAAGGTCCCAATGGCGCCGCTCTTATGCGCCTCCGCCACCAATGCCGGCACACCCCTCACACGTTTTCGTGACCCCACAGGGAGCGCGACGCAGCCCGCATTCATGTCGATACACCCCTCACACGTTACGTAGCCCCACAAGGAGCTCCACCGAAGGCCCAGTGGCGCAGACCGTATGAGCTCGCCCCTCCCATGTCAGCATACCCCTCACACGCTTCATGGCCCCATAGAGAGCCCCACCGATGCTCCCAATGGCGCAGCCTGCATGTGTCCGCCCTCCCATGTCAGCAGCAGCATACCCCTCGCACGCTTCGTGGTCCCATGGGGAGCTCCACCAAAGACCCCAGTGGCGTAGCCCGCATGCGTCCGCCCCGCCCCTTTCGGTACACCTCTCACGCCTTTCGTTATCCCACTGGGAGCTCCACCGAAGCCAATACTCACAACGACAATACTCGCAACTGCATGTTGGTGGGTCTTCCACCAGGCTATTGTTGGCTGAACTCGAGCCCCTTAGGCATGCGTTAGGCGGTCCTGGAAGATTCCCCAGGTGCCCTGCAATAACATAACCACATCTGGCCGAACATCCCCCCTCATTTTGCCATCGCTCCATTCTTGGTATACTTCCCCTCACGTTGGGCTCCTCTAGCCAGCCATGTGAGGGGACAACAAGACTCAGGTGCAAGTCCGATCGCAACCACTGAGTGAGGTACGCGCTGAGCATCGAAAGAAGGTTGCGAAGCGTGAGGTCGACCGAATTTTCCTGCTCGCCTCAGATGCAGGCCTTGTCCCAAAGTCCGGTGGCTGCGAGGTTACCGAGGTCCACGTAGTCGCCGAACAGGCCACGCAGCTGGTTGGGCACCTGCGCGGCTGGCCACGCATAGCGAGCAGTCGAAAAAACAAGCACAGCTAGGGCCCAAAGCAGATGTGGTGGAATGTCACCTGGCCCGAGAACGCGGTGCAAGAGGTTCCATGCTCGGAAATACACACGAAAGGTACTGGAGTAGTTGACCTAGTATCAAAGCATCATCCCGCCGTTTGCTCCGACAACCTTCCGAGGCCTCCAGATGTCTACGGATATCCTCAGAGGCCTCTGATGGCCCTCAAAGGTCACATAACTTGCAAACACGCAACAAAAACCGTCAGCCTCGACCCTCTGGCGGCTCGATCAAGTCGAGGCGTGGGCCCCCCGAACGAGAGACCCCATCCCGGGGACTGCCGTTTCAGCCAGTGTCGTCTTCCGATGCCTCCGCAAGACGAAAACGATGAGAAGCCTTGAACATGTGTGCTATTTCTCTCCGTAAGGTCCGAGACGGGTGGGTGGAGGTGCCTCTCCCGTGGCGGGGTAGGGAAGTCACGTGACGGGCGCGGGCTGTGTACTGGCAGTAATGATGGTAGTAGCAGTCCTGACTACAATTACCCTGCGACGTACCCAACCCTTCCTGCACATGTGGCGACGATACACAGGACCGATCATTACAAAAGAAGAGTTTGAAGGACCCGCATGAACCCACGAAAGTGGCAATGGCTGCGCAGTTCGCAGCCCTCCAGGGAGCCGCGAGGTCTCGGGTAGGTGCGTTTACAACGCCACTCCGCTGGGCATTCCCGGAAGCCCACGAAAGTGGCGATAATTGCGCACTTCGCACCCCCCCAGGGAGCCGCGAGGTCAAGACTGGTTGTGTTTACAACTCCACTCCGCTGGGCCTCCCAGGAGCCCACGAAAGTGGCAACAGAGGCGCACTTCGCAGCCTCCTCAGGGAGCCGCGAAGTCTCGACGGTGTGTGTGTGTGTGTGTTTACAACTCCTCCCTCTGCCTCCCCCCTCATTCGGCCGCCCTCTCCCCCCTGTCTCCATGTCTCTTGCATTGTGGCACACTTCGCTACAACGGTGCCCCCGTTTAGGCAGTTCTTCCGCCAGCGCAATTGCTCTGCCTAGCCACCGACGCAGAAAATGCTTACAACTCTGGGCCTCCCAGGAACCCACGACCATTTCGACAATGGCACACTTCGCAGTCACCCCAGGGAACCGCGAGGTCTCGGCTGGGTGTGTTTACAACTCCACTCCGCTGGGCATACCAGGAACCCGCGAACATACAACATTTGCTGAATTCGCAGCCCCTTCAGGGAACCGCCGCGAGGTCTCGGTTGGATGTGTGTGCAACCCCACTCCGATGAGTTCCCCGGGAGCCCACGAAAATAGAGACATTCGCACAGTTGGCAGCCCCCCAGGGAGCCGCGACTCCACTCCGCTGGGCCTCACAGGAGCCCACGGAAATGGCGACAATTACACAGGTCGCAGCCCCCCAGGGGAGCCGCGAGGTCTGGGCTGCGTGTGTTTACACCTCCACTCCGCGGGGCCTCCCCGGAGCCCATGAAAGTGGAGACAATTGCGCACTTCGCAGCTCCCTCAGGTAGCCGCGAGGTCTCGACTGGGTGTGTTTACAACTCCACTCCGCTGGGCCTCCCAGGAGCCTACGAAAATGGCGACAAAAGTACAATTCGCAACACCCGCAAGTGAGCCGCGAGGTCTCGGCTTGGTGCGTTTACAACTCCATTCCGCTGAACATCCCAGGACCCCAAGGAACTGGTGACAACGTCACACTTTACAGCCCCCCAGGGAGCCGCGAGTTCCCCCCCTCCCAGGGGCACACGAGAAAGACAGAGTCACAACGGGGCTGCAACGCAAGCAGGACGAACGAGAGACGGGAGGAGGAAGTGGCGGAAGAAGAGACAGGAGGCAGGAAGTAGGAGGCAGGAGGCAGGAGGGGGAGGAGGAAGGAGTGGAGACTACACTGCTCTATTCAAGACGAGAACCCAATACAGGAGGGTTCGGAATTAAAATGCTGGTAAACGCCACGACATTGACGACGACGACCGCCAGCGGCGCATCGGAATCACGGCCCAAGAGCGCTCCAAGACGCTCAAGATGGTCTCAAGACAGCCCGAGAGGCCCCAAAGAAGCGCCAAGAGCGCCCCAAGAGGACCTTAAAGAGGGCCAAAATAATCACGAATCAGCGAGTTCCCTTGTGTGTCTCAATGTGTTTCGCCTTCTCGCATTTTCGGGCTTCCGACGCTCCAAGATGGCCCCACTGGCCCCCAAGACAGTCCCAAGACGGCCCGAGAGGCCCCCAAGACGGCCCCAAGACGGTCCAAGAGGGCCCCCAAGTCCCCACAGGCGCCCAAGAGGGCCCCAAGACGGCCCCAAGAGGGGCCCAAGAGGGGAACCACGAACAACCGATTCGAGTATTCCGCCCCAAGAGGCCCCCAGGAGGCCTCAGGAGGCTCCCAAGAGAGCCCAGGAGGCCCCCTGGAGGCCGCCTGGAGGCCCCACGAGGCCCCGAAGAGCCATAAAAAAAGCCTCAAGATGCTCCAACAGGCCCCCCAACGGCGACGAACGCGCAAGCAAACGCATGCGGTAACACAACACGGGCCAGCTGATGAGCGAAGCGATGAAATACAAGTACTGGTAAACGCCACGACGACGACGACCGCCATAGGCAACGACAAACACAACTGCTGCGCGTTGTCATATCCAGAGGGACGCAGCATCAGCATCCCGTATGTGAGTACTGCCCTGCTGCGCACGTAAACCAGCCTCTGCACCACACCTGGCTGGGTGGGGCAACACTCGTGGTGCAAACTGGAGGGCCCCCGGCCTGGTCAGGACAGTGCATCGTTTCGCTGTTGACCAATCAGCTGGAGGAGCAGCAGGAGGAACAACAGAAGATGCAGCAGAAGCAGCCAAAGAAGCAGCCAAATAAGCAACAGGAACAGGAGGAGGAGCAGCAGGAAGAGCAGCAGGAGGAGCAGCAGCCGGAGGAGCAGCAGGAGCGAAAGCAGGAATGAAAGCAGGAGAAGGAGCAGGAGGAGCAGCAGGAGAAGCAGCAGGAGGAGCAGCAGAAAAAAAAGCAGGAAGAGCAGCAGAGGAGGAAGAGCGCCTGAGCAGCAGCAGGCACAGCAGGCACAGCAGGAACAACACGTTCAACACCATATTCCTGGCGTTCCTGGCATTCCTGGCGAAACGGATACTGGCGAGCGCTACAGCATGCTTGTGAGCACCAAAGCATGCCTATCAACACCACAGCATGCCTCTGGGCACAACGCCATTCCTAAAACGGAACCGGCATCCCCAACGCGTACGTTCGGTACCGTTACAGGGGGGGGACACCACCCGTGACGGACATCATGGGTTCAACTACTAAAAAAACACTCTTCTCTGTCTCGCTGCTTTCAAGACTCGGGGTATTTGGATAACCTCTCCACCGATGTGGCACATGCTTCGTGACCTGGGCGACCATAGATCTGCCACTTCCCTGGGGCTGGCTTTTCGTTCCGAATCATGTTTGACGGTCCCTGGTCTGGAAAGCGTTCTCCTTCGACTCTGGAGGGGCAGGCCACGCGCGTCAGGGCGCGCGCACCATGACGCCCGTCTCGCTACCGCTGGCCCTGTAGACCAGAATCAGGGGCAGCGTCGCCTCGAGGCACGGCGAGCAGCAGCCGCCAGCCACCCCTCTTACCGGCGTCCTCCTCCGTTTACCTCCCCCTCCCCGGTCCATCTCCCTCTCCGCGGTCCACCTCCACCCTCCCCCCCCCCCTCCTCGATCCACCCCATCCTTGCACCACTCTCCTGTGCGAGGCGGGGATCTCTCCGCACCCAACGCCTGCGGAGCCGCCGTCCAGGGACCCCAGCGGGCGGTGGACATGGACAGATGCTGGGCCCGGGGGGGCGGCGAACATGCCCGCATCCGCCGCCCGTCGAGGTCCCCGACCACCGATTTCCCGGGCGGCGGGCATGGACGAACCCACGGGCCGGATCCCGCCAGCCCTGCGCGCAGAGACGGCGGCGTGAACGCCGTGCGCCGTCACGAGCACGCCGCTCGCTCCGAGCGGCGACGGCCGCCGGAGGCGAGCGGCTCCGAGCCACGGGCTCCGAGGCCGCGCTGCCCGCCAGGAGCTGCAGGGCCATCCTCGGCGTCGCGGGGCCCGCTGCAGTCCCCCTGGCGGAGCCTCGAGAGCCCCGAGGCCCGCGCATCGGACGAGATCGGGACGTCGGATGCCCGGGACCGCCTCACTGACGCGCTTCTCTTCGATCCTTCTCCCCCTCCTCCTCCTCAGCTGGACGTTCCCGCGAGGGGACAAGATAGTCGGGCAGGGAAAAACAACCAACAAACGAAACTGCGCTGATCGATTGTGCCCACATTCGACTCTGAAGAACAACGTGCCGTGACGGCCGAGAACGACTGGACGATTTCGTATCATCCAACTCCCCTCCGATATTTCACACTGGCCATTTCATCAACACATCCGCCATGTCGCATGCTCATCCACGGCAAGGCCTTCTTTCTGTGACACCCGCCCCCTCCTCTCCCCGCAGAGAAAGCGCATCCATCGATCTGGGCCACTCACGGCGGGCACACGGAACAAAACCGCAGGCAAGCTGGTGTGCTCGCCGTGACGACTCGACGACCATCTGGTCGCTATGATGTTCGCGCCAGCCGTGCAATTCGTGGACGGCCATGAGAGCACCCGTCGGTCGGAAGAAGTGGGTAGGACTATGAAGTAGTGGGAAAGCGTTGGAGTAGATTGGGCTTCCGCCCCCCCCCCCCCCTGAAGAGGAGGGGAAACGGCAAAACAACCCCACCCTGGTTGCAGGGAAGCGCCTAAAGTAGATTGGGATTTCGGAATCCAAAAATACACACTTTCAACGACTGGCGGGTAATGTGAGAGTTGCTCAGCCGACCTCAACTAAGGAGAACGGACATACGGAGGTGTATAAAGTAGGTTGGGTTCAGGCCCTCCCAGAGAAGAACAAAACACAGCAAAAGCATATCGATTCTTGAAGTAGGAAGGCAAGTACATGAGACTGGGATCTGGGAATCCAGAAATGCCCACTTTCAGCAGCCCGCGTGCACTATGAAAGATGCTCAGCCGCTCTCGGCTAAGACGGAATTCGCCCCCCCATGAGATGGGGCGGCGCTGGCCAGGAATGGCAGCGGGATCTTGTGCCGCCAGCGCAGGTCCTCCCGCCGCGCCACAGCGGTACCGGCGCGGATCGGTGTGGAGGTGGAGAGACGCACCGGCGACGAAACGCCAACAAGAACGGCCAAGAAGCAAGGGCCCCAGGGAGCGGTCCAAACAAGGATGCGACGAGAGGTGTGTTGCCAATTCCCCTCATTCTGCTCTCTCTCTCTATATATATATATATATATGTATGTATATATATATATATATATATATATATATATATATATCAGTCTATCTGCTCCATCTCGCGGCCTCTCTCGCTCGGTCTCTCTTTCTCTCTCTCTCTCTTTCTCTCCCTCCCTGTGTCACTCTAACTATCTCTTTATGTGCCTCTTTTTTCTTTCTCACTGCACACACATATATATATATACACAGACACGTACATGTATATACGTATGTATATGGGCAAAGTGTTTCGTACGTATGTACTGTCGGTGTATATATGTATATACATATGTATTCATATATAAACTTGTTGTTTGCACATATATATATATGTTTATATATATATGAATAGATGTACATATACATATAAAAGTATATGCATACACGCTAGAACCACGCGCGCGCTACGCGCGTGCTCAGGTTCTCGACGACTGCGCGGTCGTTGTCAATAGACCTTACGCTGATCCACGAAACCCAATGTACCCAAGGAAAGGTTCCCCCGGCAAGGGCCGCCCTTGGAGCGTGGAGGTGCTGGGCCTTCTGGGGGCAAACTTGAGGTTCGGTGGGCGGTCGCGGAGCCGTGCGAGGAACGACGTGCGACTCGTCGGAAGGCTCCGGATGCTTCCCAGACTGCGCAAGTGCCGTGACTGCCACGGTGGCCGAGGGCCCCAAAGGCTCCGGGCCGCCAAGCCGTCGCCGCCGCCGCCGACCCTGCGAGCGCCGCCGCCGCAGCCGCCGCCGCCGTCGCGATGATTGTCGTGGTGGTCGTCGTAGTGGTCGTGAAGGCGGTGGTGGTCGCCGTCTGTGGACATAATCGTTCTGGGGCGTGTTCCGTTTTTCGGGAGCCTCCAGACTCTGGAGATCTTATGTGAATTGTTCAGGAAACCTCTGGGGGACGCTTCTTGCCACGCCCACGTCGCATCGACGTCGGATCCGCGTGCGTCTGGCCTCTCCCTCTCCCTCCTCCCCCTTGTCCTTCTCCTCCTCCTCCTCCTCCTCCTCCTCGTGCTCGCGTTCCTCCTCTTTCTCCTTCTCCTCCTCTTCGTCCTCCTCTTTCCCCCTCCTCCTCTACATCCTCCTCCTCCTCCACTTCCTTCTCCTCCTCATGACCTCCTCATGACCTCCTCCTCCTCCTCCTCCTCCTCCTCCTCTTCCTCCCCCTCCACCTCCACCTCCACCTCCTCCTCCTCCTCCTCCTCCTTCTCCGAATCGGGTTGCGACGCTTCGGCCGCATTTCCCCTGGATGAGGAGGAGGAGAACAAGGAGGAGAAGGAGGAGGAGGAGGAGAAGGCGGAGGAGGAGAAAGAGGAGCAGGAAATGGAGGAGTGAGAGAAGGAGGAGTAGGAGGAGGAGGAGGGGGAGGAGGAGGAGAAGGAGGGAAGGAGGAGGAGGAGGGAAGGAGGAGGAGGAGGAGGAAGAGGAGGAAGAGGAGGAGGAGGAGAAGGCGGAGGAGGAGAAAGAGGAGCAGGAAGTGGAGGAGTGAGAGAAGGAGGAGAGGAGAGAGGAGGAGGAGGAGGAGGAGGAGGAGGAGGAGGGAGGAGGAGGGAAGGAGGAGGAGGAGGAGGGAAGGAGGAGGAGGAGGAAGAGGAGGAGGAGGAGGAGAAGGAGGAGGAAGCGGCTGAGGCTGGGTTTGCCGAAATCTGGGTTGCGATACTTTGGCCGCATTTCCCCTGGACGAGAAGAAGGAGGAGAAGGAAAAGGAGGAGGAGGAAAAGGAAAAGGAGGAGAAGGAGGAGAAGGAGGAGGAGAAAGAGGAGCAGGATGTGGAGGAGTGAGAGAAGGAGGAGTAGTAGGAGGAGGAGGAAGAAGAGTCCTCCTTCTCCTCCTCCTCATCGTCCTTCTCCTCCTCCTCCTCCTCCTTCTCCTCCTCCTCCTCTCGTCCTTTTCCTCCTCCTCCTCCTCCTCCTTCTCCTTCTACCTCCCCCTGGCACCGTCCTTGGAATGCGATGCCCCAGGCGTCAAAACTCAACTGGGGGACCCCTGGCCAATAAAATTTGCACGGAACGCTCCAAGGAACGAAATACCTCCATGGAACGACCCCCCCCCAAACCCAAAATAAAGAGTCCCAAACATTTGTCCTTGAACCTCGTCCGGCCAGCCGTCCGGCCGCTCCCCGCGAGGGCGGCGACGACGACGACGACCACGACGACGACGACGGCCGCGGCGGTGGCGGCGGCTGGGCGGCGGCGGCGGTGGCAGCCGCGGGGTGTTGCGGAAGCTGTTTTTTTGAGCAATTTGAAATCAGTCGGGGCAATTGGGGCACTTGGGGCAGCTGGGGCACTCCAGGGACAGTTGGGTCAGTTCAAGAGCAATTGGGCCACTTGGGGGGGGCTCGGGGCGCTTTGGGGTCCGTTCAAGGCAAGTTTAGTACCAGATTGGAAGGGGGGCGGGGCGGGGGAAGGTGGAAGATAGCTACGCGCGCCCGCGTCGCATCTGACACCCAACCTCTCCCCCAGCGCTCCTCTTCCTCCTCCTCCTCCGCCTCCGCCTCCTCCTCCTCCTCCTCCTCCTCCTCCTCCTCCTCCTCCTCCTCCTCCCCCCCTCCTCCGAATCGGGTTGCGACGCTTCGGCCGCATTTCCCCTGGACGAGGGGGAGGAACACAAGGAGGATGAGGAGGAGAAGAAGGAGGAGAAAGAGGAGCAGGAAGTGGAGGAGCGACAGAAGGAGGAGTAGGAGGAGTAGGAGGAAGACGAGGAGGAGGAGGAGGAGGAGGAGGAGGAGGAGGGAAGGAGGAGGAGGAGGAAGAGGACGAGGAGGAGGAGAAGGAGGAGGAGGAGGCCGAGGTTGGGTTTGCCGAAACCTGGGTTGCGACACTTCGGCCGCATTTCCCCTGGACGAGGAGAAGGAGGAGGCCGCAGCGAGGCCGCCCCTCTCTCTCTCTCTCTTTTCGCAAAGGGTCGGTCGCAACATTTCCGCACATTTTCTCTCGAGCTTCGGGAAACGCCACCAGCGGCGGCGGGCGATGGCGCGTCGCTGGCGCTCCACAAAAAAACCAGCGAAACGTCGCAACACGATTGCGTTCACTCCGCGGCCAAGAGTGCGACGCGGACTGGAGTACGCTCTGGGGGGCGCCGACGGGGCACCCGCGCCGATCCTGGCCAGGCTGGCCAAGGCCGACTCGTCAGAGCAAGTAAAAAAAACTCTGCGAAACGACGCTGCACGGTTGCGTCTGCTCCGCGGTCCAAAGTTCAGAGCGGCGCTGGGTCGCTCGAGAGTCCGCCGATCGCTCGGGCTATCCCTGGCAAAATCAGTCCGAGTCGTCGTCGTCCCCGAAGAGCTCGGCGGCAAGGTCGGCGTTCGCCTGCTCCTCCGTCTTCGCTGCCTTCGCAGCGGACCCTGAGGACTCGCCCTCTGCCGCACGCTTGGCGGGGCGGCTGCTGGTGGAGTCGGCCCCGCCGAAGGCCGCTTCCACCTGGGCCTCGAAAGCGGCGGCCGCGGCGGCCGCCGTCGGCGCCGCCCTCGGGACAACCTGCTGGCGCTTGACCGCCTTCTTCTCGTCCTTGTGGGGCCCCGCCAGCATCAGCACGGTGATGTTTTCCCCATTCGCAGAAACCTTGTCCACCGCGCACTCGTGCGGCTCGTATTCTTTTTTCAGCTTCGTCAGGCCGGTGAGCGTCACCTTGTCGCCCACTGAAATTGCGGCTGCGGGGCCCGCAGCGGGGGCCGCCTCCGAGGCCGCTCCTGCGCTCGGGGGCGGGGCGGCCCCGGGGGCCGCCGAAGCCGCGCCTGGGAGCGACGCGCGCTCGGCTGCCCGCTTCGCCTCCTCGTCAGCCGCT